ACAGGAACAGTTCAGGACCAGGAGCGCCAGCTTCACCGAGAGGCCCAGAAGGTCAGACTCTACAGATTTGTTTCTCAGCTCCAGTCAAAGAAAAATACATTTTGGTATAATGACATCTGTTACAGAAAGCCAACATTTAATACACAGTATAGGCAAGGCAAGTTTCTGTCATAACCAGTGGTCATTTCAACAACAAAAGTTTTTGAAATATGGATTGGACAAGTTGTGGTAGAAGTGTTGTCTTTTCCTATATATTTATTTGTTTTCCTTTTAAGAACTCTTCTTGCTGGCATTCATAAAGTTGCGTGGTTTACTAAAACCTGATAAGAGATGTAGGCTGTAGAACTGCAGTTTCCCTAATTATTTGTAGTCTAAAGCAATATTGTTTGTATGGAAAGGACATTCTTTTTCTGCAACAGCATTCATCAATACTGAGGTTGTAGTAGAACAGGTGCATTCATCAGGGAATCATGTGTAATCATTGCTCTTATGATGCTGCTGCTTCTGTGTGTGAATTCCACAGCAGTAAGATCACATACATGTACCAGACCAGCTTATATAGGCCCTACTCTTAGCTAAAAATCCTCCCATTGTTTAAAATTTAATGAAACTTTATTTTGAAGACAAGCAAACTTCAATGTAGTCTGTTATTCTTGCTTTGATTTATTTTGCCAACTATATGGTATTCCAGCTGAAACTGCACCCTTGCCCCAATAATTTGTGATTATCTGATTCTGATCAGTCGACTTCTCAGTGATCTTCTTCCTGTGGTGTACTACACACTTTGGTAGTCATTGTTTGTCTGTAATCATTGACACAATGCTTACATGGGCCACATGTATCTTCATTGAAGAAAAAAAGTTTGATTCCATTGACCACTCAAAATTTTAATTTGCAATCTAGCCAATCAATGGGCCCATGTCATCAGTGATGTCACAGTGCACTGCCAGGAAACATGGCTTGCTGTTGTACAGATTTCACTGCCTTTTGCCTTCTCGCCTTTCTGCCATAGCTTCAGGCCCAGCCCAAAGTCCAAATTTGAGCTTTTACAGTTGGAACGGAGTTTCACCTGGTAAAACGTCACGGTTTCATTTCCATCCTTTATTTTTTTTCTTTATTTACACAATTCTAAACAGCATGCTGTAAGTATCCGTGCAGTAAGAAAAACTCCTCACATAACCTACATGTTGTAAACACAACACATAACTCATTAATAGCATATTCAATTACAACATGGACAGCATGTTGCATGGATTGTTGTGAAACTTTTTTTCAAATTTAATTTCATTTGAATCTGAATTAATTTGAATGAATCTGAGTGATCACTGTTTATTGCACCACCATTAGCAAACATGTCACAAAGTATGTTACAGTGTCATTACTGAAATTAGGATCTAATCAAAATAACAATGTCTGTGTATGTGTGATTTTAATGTCTCTTTCCTCAAACATTTATGACCCCAATGTTCCTTGTCCAAATCCAGCTTCACAACCCATTTTTTGTGTCTTGGTTCTTGTTTGAAAGTTGATGTTAGCCAAAACACCATGTACTATTTAGCAGTACATGCACACATTGTTCCCAAACAACAGTATTACAGTCATGTAGGTACCGGTATCAACCTACTGGTACTAGTCACCACCATCTTAAACCTTCTTTTGACTAAGTAACATAACTCAACCTTCATTCCCCAGTATTGTATGCACTCATCAGTTGTAGGAATAATACTGTAACAGTAACTGCATGCTCCACAGAAGTGCTGCACTGCTTATGTATGTCACAGTGTGTTTGTGATGTGTTTCAGCCATGCTGTTGTAGAGAACATGTACATGTATAGAACCTTCACTTTTCAGTCAGAGAACAAAGCAAACCCAGGACATAATCTGCTGCATTGCTGTGCAGAACATGCCACAAATTTTAACCGTATAGATATAGTAAACATTGTGTTAAACATTGCTTGCAAATTGCATCATAGCAGAAATCCCCTCATAACATATCCATTCTGACATACTATTGTTTAGTCATACTCATAATAAGATGTGCAATTTTTTTATGTTATACTGCCAGATCTGACCAAGTCTGTGGCATGACAAATCTTCTTTTTCACAATGTTGCTTTGAATATCACATTGATAAGTGAACCCAGCAATTGAGAAGTATTTCCTAATGTGAAATGTCTACAACATCATATATCTATATAATTTGAATGATGGGGTCTTGGTTTCGTAGTATGTATGTAGTATGGGTTGTGAGATACTGACTGATTTATTTAAAGAACTGAATGACTGAATGGGAGGCATTGAAATTACATTTCCTGTTCTGCATCAAACTTGGTCACCTCTGGTGTAAATACTACCTACTGTACCTTACAAAGCTCCCTTGCTGTTTCTAGGCGTGAGACACGACAGTCAGGAACAGACCATGGCTCAGCTGTGGACGAGAGACAGGAAACCTTACTGAAGGTCCACACTGAACTACTGGAGACTTGTCTGGACATGATGGCCAGATATACCTTCTCTACCTGCTCCACTATACCAAAAAGGTGGGGAAAGTCTCTCTCCTTTGTGGTAGAAAAGTCGAAAATCAGATTATATCACTGTACAAGCTTTAACATGTTACATTTTGTATACCAAGTTAGTGCTATATAACCTCTGGCTACTTTTGATTTGAAGGTCTCCTGTTGCTGAATTCTTATTGGCTGGTGGACAGACCATGACTTGGTTGCTAGGCAACCAGCTCATCACCGTGACGACCAGTGGAGGAGGGCTGAGGATGAGGAAGAACGGAGTTTGTGAGAAGTGTGCTTCCCTTCTCAACCTGGAGGAGGACAAGCAGGAGGCTAAAAGTAACTAATCATCCTTCTATGATTAGTCTGCAAATTGTATTACTACCTTCTGCTTTCATGTTGAAGAAATAGATTAAAAAGTTATTGTATGTCCTTGTCAAACACAATGTAGCATAATGCAGCTGTAAGCATATGTTTGCACATGTGCTTTGTTTTTCACAAGAAAGAGAAGTTGTGGTAATCCTTCTACCACAATGTAGTTGTACGAGTAGTACCGGTAGTATCCAGTCTTTGATTATACTGCTGCGGGGGTCCCTGACACGGGGTGGACAGCAGTCAGCCAATCTTCACACCACACCTCCCAGTGACTGTCCAGTGGGTCCACACCGGCAAGGCCGCACTGTCAAATGTCTTCCTGACACAATCCACAATGTCTGTTCTGTATTCAGGTCTTGTGACGACTGAAGAGTATGTGGAAGCAGAGTTCCGTGAGAGGTCAGACTCGGCGTCCAAGGGAACCCAGGAGGCTCCTGGGAAGCTGGAGACACTGACAACGTCACCGTCTATACCTCCAGCTGATAGCAAAAGGTCAGCACAGATTCTCTCAAGTAATGGGAGTCATTGAAATTCCATTTCATGTGGCCTCAAGAGTACTCCCTCAAACTCACCAGTCTTACAACATTGGGAAATGGATTCCATCGAGACTATCAAAGCAGCTCTTCAGTTGTTCTTGGCCACCTTTTCATGTTTGCTTTGGCAATAATGTACTGTCTTACTGTCCTTTGTATATGTAACAATGTACAAGGAGATAAGATAGCCTTAGATAATGAACAGTGATTTACTCCCTTTAGACTTGGAAACTAAATGTCTGACCACAGTTATTAGAGTTATTAGACCATATTTTCATGCTATTGATGTCCTCAGGGAGAGGAAACGATCCAAGTCGGGCGGGAAGTACCTGAGCTCGGCGCCCACCCCTGTGTCTCTGCTGAAGGAGGAGTTCCAGCTCTTCAGCCAGGGTCTGACGGAGAAGACACAGATGGACGTCGGGGAGAAGGCCACCATCCAGGAGGACAGGAGCGGGGAGGAGAGAGAGGAGGTGGAGGAGGAGGAGGAGAGAGAGGAGGAGACCAGGGTGGAGACACCTGAGGAGACACGAGGTGTGATGGCAGGACAGGTGGGCAGGAGAGCAGAGATGTTCCCAGATGTACCCAAGGACCAGAGTTCTCCAGGTACTGGATATTTGGGGTGAATTATCAACACTGCTAAATAAGAAATCTGGGTTCCCAAGAGGAGATCACATTATAGCCTGTTAAACAAGAGTTCCACGATCTCATACCTTCGCCAAATGATGTTAACCCGTCCGGGTGACGAATTATACAATTTTAATCATTGATTTTGTAAATAAGAGCCTCATTCGCATGGATTATATCAGTTGATCATATTCTCCATCCAATGACGGCCTTATCATAACAAAAAGGCTATTATAGCACTTCCTCATAAATTATGCAAATGAGGTCATGATTTGTATAAATTATGTTTATTGATGTTCACCTTCACTTAACTTCCAAATGTGGCAAGTATGAAATTCGGGGTGCAGCAGTTACAACTATGGAATTATAAGAATTTGCCATTAATTATGCAAATTAGGTCCTCATTTACATAATCTATATCCTCAGATGTTTTTCTCGTTCTCAAGTAGATGTCACAAGTGTTTCATAGTTCTATTATTGAACAAAGCAGATTTATAGAATTTCCTCATTAATTATGCAAATTAAGTCCTGATTTGCATAATTGCCATCTGATTATGTCAAGCACCACTTCAACTACCTACATACCAAAAATCACGACAATACGTCAACCGGTTCTTGAGTTATCGTCCTTCGAATTTTTTTCAACAAATGCTCCTGCAGTTCCAGAACAAGGCGCTAGGGGACCCAAACTCATGTCACTTCTTCTCTATCCCAAGAGCTATCTGCCATCCAAAATTCGTGACCCTTGCATGTCCAAATCACGAGATATCAAACCGGAAGTTCTGCTGCAGTACCTAGGAAAGCCGCCAGGGGGCCCAAAATCTAATCATTTCTAGGTCTCATGAAGACCTACCCACCTACCAAGTTTCATTCCAATCCATCTACTGCTTCTTGAGTTATCTTGCTAAACCACACACACACACACAAACACACACACACACAGACAAACGCTACTGAAAACATAACCTTCTTGGCGAAGGTAAAAAAGCTGACTCTATGTACATGGTACATATAGTGGGCTACTTGTGAATAATGTGCCTTCTTTTCCTGATGTCTGACATCTTTTGAAGATATATTATTTTGACACCACTGTTCCCCTTTGTAGCTATGAATTCCAAGACGAAGAGTTCTCCCACCAAGCTGGTAAGCCGGTACGAGTGTAACTGCTGGTGTCAGGGCTGGGCGGAGATCCTGATCCGCCGCCCCACGGGGAACACGTCCTGGATGATGCGGATCCAGAACGCGCGGCTGGTGCAGCCCGACCAGGACTTCCCGCTGGCAGACATCGCCACGCTGCTGCTCGGGCAGAAGGAAGAAGGTCAGCAGTCCTTCCCAACAGCTCCCTCTGTTGATTTTCATCATATCTGCAGCTGTAGTACACTTTCGAGCAGATATGCCACAGAAAATCAATTAGAAAAAGAGAAACATTTGTAAACAACAGCCTCTGAAAAGTACATGTTGTCTTTTCTGGAGAAACTTCCTGAAGGTTATAATATGCTTGAAAATTCTAGCATAGCATAGCAATCATTCTAGCATAGCATCATATCATGCACCATCTAGTGTTAAAGACTCATATAAGCTGCAAAAGTTGGTAGTTTGATACTGGGTAGCTGTACATATCTTGCTGTCTAGTACTGTTTTATCTTACATGTACATGCACATGTCCTGCAGAGAATACTGCTGCCAGCCGTTACCAGAGGTCAGATTCTGCCCCTCCCTCCATGGGAGTCAAACAGGATAGAGCCAGCAAACCAGTACACGAGACAGGTGAGTGAGGAAAATAGTCACATCACTCACATGTGCATTATTTTAACTGATTTTAACTGATGGAAAAATTCTCTACACTTGGGTGTCCAAAAGGTCGTAACCAGGTTGTCTGTCCTTCAGTTTCAGAAGTTGTATATGTGGATGCAGGTGAAGATGATGGAGATAATGGGGATGGAGAAGACAGAGGCTTATTTCACATTGGTAAGTACTACTAGGCATTAAAACATGTGATCTTTTGAAAGAGACTGGCTTTCATGTAACAACATTATATCTCTGACCAGTTTAGGTGTGTTCTCATTTAAGCTTCCTTTGTATCCACTCACCAGGTTCACTGGAAGATATCAACAAGACAGAACCTACAGGCTTTCAAAAGGTCAGTAGAAAGTTAACTAAATGTTTGCAGCTTCTGATTTTGTGTGTTTGCCTGGCTTGGTCAGACATTGATGGTGTTTTGATTCCCTCTAGCCTATCCTTGGAACTTCCCCAGTGGACACCGAGGAGGTGGTTGAGGTAAGGAGACTTTCTCCTTTTCTGTAACCATTTTTGATTTTTTCAGAGATATTTGATATGCTTCCGACAATACATGTAGAAGCTTACAATCTTAGTCTACTACTATGAATGTCATCATTCTTCCATACAAAAGGACTGTGGATAATTGAGAGTAGGTGTTTGCTTTGTTCTTTGTTAGTCTAAGAATGACTTAACTAGGTAACTGCAACATGATGATGATGACATTGCTTGACTATCATTTGCCATCCATCCTTCCTTCTAGCCATCAAAACGTGAGGATGAGTCAGAAAATCAGGAAGACGTGGTTGTTAGTAAGAGCCCCTTGTCTCCGATCCGCAAGACCAACTCATCTCCACAGCTGACTGGAGAGTGGGCGGTCTATCAGGATAAGGAGGAAGAGCAGATGGAGGAACTAGACAATGTCTTTGAGTCACAAGACAACGATGATGAGAGAAAACGACAAAATGTGTTGAGCGTACCAGACAAGGACAGTTACTCTCAGAGTGTGAAGCATGTTCCTCAACCTGCTGTGGAGCCAACACAATCAGAAGAAAGGCAGGGTAGACCAGTGCAGAGGAAAGTTGCAGTTACAGAAAGACAAGTGAAAGTTGGAGACAGGAAAGAATCAACAGAAAAGCAGGGTAAACCAGTGGAGAGAAAGGAGTCAACAGAAAGGCAGGGAAAAGTCGTAGAAAGGAAAGAATCAACGGAAACGCCAGGGAAAGGTTTAGAGAGGAAAGAGTCAACAGAAAAACATGTTAGACCTGTAGAGAGAAAGGACTCTAAGGAGAAACAAAGGTCAGCAGAACGGAAGGATTCTAAGGGTCGTCAGACAGGAGGATTGGCTGGCAGCCGTATCATGGAGGATGTGAAGGAGACTGACCCTCCTCCCAGCATGGGCACTCCCCAGTCCTCCCCACCCATGATGAGAAGACCGAGGGCACAGACTGTGTCAGTTATGACACCTGGAGGTAGGTGCTTCTGCCCATGTTGATCCCATCAAGTTAATGTTACAGCTGCAGTAATGTTACATTTCCTACATTCAACATCATCATCAGGATTTTGTTCTGTTTAATGCAATGTTTGTTTCAAAGGAGATTGATGATAATTGTGTTGATATCTGTCAAATGTTTCAGTTAACAGAAGGGAAGAGTTCTTGGAGAGAAAGCGGAGGATGCAACCACCTGTTAAGGAAGGCACAGGGTCTGGTGTTAGTCCAAGGTGAGCAGGAACCCACTTCTTATCCAAGGAGATTGATGAAGATAGCTTTTACCAGTGATTGCAGATTAATTTGTTTCCTCCATACATGTAGGATTGGTAATATGGTACCTTAAGACGACTGATTTCCTTGAATAGCAAGACAAATCACTGCTTTCTGATCTCTGTAGGTACATTGTTAGTTGCTGATTGTTGTTCCACCTTGTTGTTTAACCACTTTTGCTGTCCTGTTTCCCAGCTTTGTGTTCCTGCAGCTGTTCCATTCAGCTGCTTTTGGAAGTGTGAATGAGAAACCCATCCTGCTACCGAAGTCTGAGGTAAGGAAGGTGTTTGGGGATGGTCAGAACAAACTAGTGAACAGCAACAGGCTTCCAGTTTACAAATAATGCAGCCTGCTTAATATCGTACTTAAAGTCAATTCTATGGTATGTCTAGTATATTTGTGATGAATCATTGGATGATCTTTGAGTTCTAAGGCTAAGAGTGCCATCACTTGTACATTGTATAGAGTTTCCACACATTGTATTCTTATTGTCTTTTGCAGGTGGTTGGGCGAGCTGTGAAGAACTTGGACAGAATCCCTCCCTATGAGACCCACAAATGCGGGGTTCTGTATGTGGGACCAGGACAGGTCAGAGTCTCTGCTGTTCACACTGTTTTTAAGTATGGAATCAGGCACTGCATGTGGTTCTGACTAGGCTTTTAAACCTGTCTTAAAGTTTCTTTTATTGTTTCATGGGTAAGTGATGGATTCATGTGTCAAATATTACTGTACTACAGTGTCTATTTCAAACAGACAGAATAAGAAAAGTGATAGATGAATATTATATTTCTAACGTACTATTTGTTACTGATCTCAGACCACAGACGAGAAGGCCATCCTGTCCAATGAGTTTGGTTCTCTGCGGTACGTGGAGTTCCTGAGTGGGCTGGGACATCTCATCCACCTGAAGGACTGTAACCCAGACGAGATCTTCCTGGGGGGTCTGGACTGTAACGGCAACGACGGCAACTTCACCTACAGCTGGCAGGATGACGCCATGCAAAGTGAGTCACTGGTCTGTTGGTCATGTTTGTCTGTTACATACGTTTTATTTTGCTCAGTTTTATACCAAGGTACATGTACTCAACAGGGTCAAATACTGTCATAGTCAACATGTTTTCTGGGTGTGTTAATATCTCACTGAAGTCTCTTAAAGTTTGTATTTTGTATTTCCTCTACAGTGATCTTCCATGTCGCTACTCTGATGCCCTACCGGGAGACAGACAGAAACTGTCAGAGTAAAAAGCTTCACATTGGCAACGACTTTGTCACCATCGTGTACAATGACAACACAGAGGACTACAAGCCAGATACTATCAAGGTTTTCCCATTCACCGCCCATTGTTTAACTAGTAACCATAATTATATCATGTGTAGCAACAGAAATGTAGGTAAATTTGACTGACACAAATATGTTTTGAATAGATGTCCTTGACATCTTTGCTGCAAGTATAAGTTAGAATATTGACAAGTAGATCTTATTGTTTGCAGACCAGCAAAAACTTGAATGATGTTATCTGTAAACCAAAAGTAATCATTCTTCAAATTCCATCCCAGGGCCAGTTCAACTTTGTGAACATTGTGATCATGCCTCTGGACAACAGCAGCAACCTTGTCACCATTAAGGCCAAGAAAGGTGGGCATGTCCATGTGCAGTCATAGCTGTGTTACTCCAATAACACAAGCATTAGTAATAAGATGAAAGGACTTATTGGTGCACCAACTGTAGGTTATTGACTGGACAAGTGAAAAATTTGTTTGCATGGTCAACACAATAAAACTGGGGGAAGCAAACTGGTTTATAAGTATGACAAAACAGTATTCTGTAGAGCATGAAGTGAGTAAATGAGACCATATCCTGTTGATACAAAGCCATTGAACAAAGTAACCTGTAGAATATTTTAGCAAACATTTCAAATCTGTTTTAATTTCCAAAAGTTCTCTGGCATTGGCCAGGACCTATCATTATATGAGTCTTATGCTATTATGTAGAAGTGACTTTTTTTTTGTCTGTCCCTATTACAGAGGTGGAGAGCATGGTTGGTGACACCAGCTCCAAAATCATCTCAGATGACAACCTGGCTCTTACAGTACGACAGATGGCACTGCATGCTAATGTGAGTACAATGTATATCAGTCTATCTATATTTGATGCTAGGCCTGTGTGTCAGATTTTTCTTTGTCAGACACTTAAGAATAATATAACTTACATCTTCCACCACCAGAATGAGACATTGAAAAAAGGACATTCCTTTAAATCAAATCCAGGGCATTATTTTGATTACTTACACATGTTTTTTGCCCTGCAACATCAAGGTGGTGCATCATTTCAGAGTAAATCTTAAAATACGTTTTGAAAATAATCTTTATGATATTTTCCAACATGCTTGATACTGGTAACACCTGTCGTCTCTTACATCTTCCAGTTGGCCTCGATGATCCACCGCAGTAAGAACTCCCCAGAAGGAGTGTACGCCTCCAAGTGGCTGGAGCGCCTGCGTCAGATCAAGCGTATCCGGACAAAGGTGACCCAGGAGCTGGAGGTCCAGTCCCCGCCGTCCAGAACAACTTCTCCCTCCAGCCCCCGCAGCCTGCTCTCAGACTTCACAGGATTTGTGTGAAGAACTGGACTGAGTAACAAGCTGATAGCCTTTGCACAAGTCAATTTGTTGCATATCTGTGGTCAGTGTATGATAATATTGTACATGTACTGTAATTGCTGCTGGTTATCTTTGAGAGGCAATGATCGTATCGGTTTGATGTGTGCTTGGCAACAGCAGCTGGAAATGATGATCGTGAACCTCCTGTTACATCTTGCAATGCTTCTCAAAAATGATTTTGTGTCAGATGTGGCAAGATGAATTAATGTAAATGTACATAAGAACGGGTACAGAATTTTTGGCTTACCTTAAATGTATATTCATTGTGCAAAATGTCAACCTCTATAAATGATAAATGCATAAAAATTATTGATTAAAAAGCATATCTTATGTAAGTTACAAGCTTGACTTTTCCCCGAAAAGGAATAAGCCTTAACATAAAACTCATTTTAAATGGGCCAAAATTGTTACATCCAGACATAGAAGAATGTTATAATAGTGTAGCAAGTTAGTAAGCATATGAGTAATAAATAATTCATTCTATATAAAATAAAATTCAAACAGAGAGAAATCCTGCTTCTATATCTTTCATGTTCCCTAAGTCAAATTCTTCCCTCTGAAACCTGCCCATTTTTATAGCCATTAATTGCCACACATACATACATACATGTAGGAAATCTAACAGTTTGAGGCACCTGGTTTTGAAATTGCCATGAATCAAAAAATATCATTGAAGTAACAGGACCTGCTTAGTCAACAGCTTAGCCAATGGGAAAGGATGGAGGAGGCAGATGCTGGAAGCAAACATGGCGCCGCCCCGACCCTCAAGGTACTAGTACTAGGTGAAGCAAACTTTATGTTGCAGTACCTCATTTACCTGCTAGAGGCTGCTTTTGATCCAGGTACCTTCAAGTGACTTCAAGCATGCCCTTACATTTTAATAGCAGACCGTTCGTTTCTTACACTAGTTACTTTATTATGGTTTTATGAAGAAGATGATGAAGCCATCTGATGTTATACTGTAACAATGGTCTAACGCATTAAACCTTTCTAAGAAATGCCATGTTGTACAGACACTGCAGACAAATCAAGCAACAGGGATGGAAGCCCTTACATAGACTTGTAATCTGTCCAGTCATCATGCTGCCTTTCTCTAGCTTTATAGTTCAACCAAGGAGGGTATAGGGCATATAAGTTACCTTGGTTCAACATGATAGAAACATACAGGGAGACAGTACTGTTCAAAATGACACTTTTATTTCTCATCAATCTGTCAAACAAAGCACAGCTTCACATGACATTCGTCAGAAGGAGAAGGAGAAGGGAGAACTGTGGTTCAACTGAAGGCTCTCTTATTGCAGCGAGTGCAAGGTGAGAGTGAAGAGCTGGACCACAGATCACCACAGGAATACTTCAAGGAAATACATAAAACATCAATACCACACAAAACACTGAACATAGTACACAGCACATACATCTAGACATTTGACAATTTTTATATTAATCAATAACTTCATTACTTTGGCACTATTTCTTCATATTCTGACAGCAAGACATCAATCATCTACCTGCCTCGTCCAACAATTTCCACTAGGTAACATAGTTTTGTCTAATTCATTTACAGCACAATTGTCAAGTTTTAAATTATTGAGTAGGATTACATTTCCACTATACAAAACAAGTTAGATTAGATAATATATCTTTATATACACACACAAGCAATTCAGTTCTCGCACAGTACATTTTGCTAGGGAATCAAGACTTCAGTTTTCCACACAAATTCATGGGATATTTTACATCTTAAAGATGATTTAATCAATCTGATATCAAACAACAGTAAAAAAAACACATTCAACTGGATTTTCCATGAAGTATGGCAGCTTTTGGAATGTTTTGGAAGCCTCTACAGGATTAAAATCACACTCTCTGATGATGTAAAAACAAGTAAAAGCTGCTGAGCAATTATATACAAAAAGCTCCTGGAATAGAAAAATAGAAACTCTGGAAACAGCATACCATATATACAGCAGACATTTATCAAACCCTTTATACAGCTCTATTCACCAAGCAGGTTTCTTTGGGGTGGGTCTCTGTGGGCCACTTCCTCGTGACCCCTGTCTCCTAGAGCTCCCGTAATCAGAGCTCCAAGAGTGCTCCTTCTTTCTAGCTGGGGAGTTTTGGGTTGACCGTGGGTGACTTTGTTCCCACGAGTCTTCCCTCCTTCTATCTCCCCATGGATCGCTGGCTCCTTTACGAGTCCAACTAGACGATCCCCAGGCATTGTCTTTGTACTTATCTGCCCATGACACTTCTTTGTTCTGCCTCCATGAGGAAGACTGGTCTCTCCTGCTTGGAGGACCACTTGTACTGGATCCTTTAGTCCAGGAATTCTCTCTTTGTGTAGGTAACGCTTTTTCCTGTCCGGGAATACCTTGTGTCCAAGAGCTGCTAGCTTTCAACACTCTGTTAGAAGGTCTACCTGACTTATTAGCCGGTGCACTCTGGGCATCCTTTCTACTAATATTGATATTTTTCTTCTGTTGTGTCTCGTTAGTGATACTTGTCCTCTGATGACCCTTTTGTACCGGTGGATCCTCCTCAAAGGTGGAGTCATCATCCACGTAGTGGCGTAACCGATCGAATGTGGATAACACGGCGTCTACAGTCGGTGTGAGTCTGTCCAGGAGGTACTCCAGGTGGTTTGGGTCCATCTGACCCACCTCGGGGAGATGCCCCAGGCCGACAGAGCCACTGGACTCCAGGCTGATGGGACTGTTTGGTGTGGACACGTGGGAGAGGCCTCCTGTGGTTATAGTTGACCGAGATGAGCGAGTAGACAGTCGGTCCATGCCCAGGAACTTCACATTGTGGCGCCACTGGAAAGAAAAGTAAAACATTGTAAACTTACTGCAAAGTCTGAGGAAGAAATGTCCAGTATTGCCTAAGGATCAAAGACAGTAACATTGAGATTGAGATGTTGTGTATGATTAAACAATCTGATGGTTCAAACAGTACAATTGTAGTACTAACCGCCTTAGGCTTGGCTAGGCCAGTCCACATCTTGAATCTCTTGATCATGAACTCCACCATCTCATAGTCCTGCCGCTCCACAGCCGGGCGGTGCATCTCCTTCCGTACTGCCGTGAACCCGTGGATCAGGACGGCCCCAAACAGCCTTCCCAGGATACAGAACACCACCAGGATGTAGGAGGTGAAGAACAGGAAGGCCAGGACTGGGTGGGCCTCTCTGCAGGGGTCAAGGTCAACCTGGCCGCGGAACATGGCCACCATGGCGGTGATGGACATCCACATGGTGGTGAAGTAAGGACTGTGGTTGGAAAACAGCTGTGGAAAGGTGGGAGAACAATATTATTCTGACAACCTGTTAGAAATTTGGCACAGACTCCTTTTAACAGATAGCAATAACCATCCATCATTTCCTGAAGAATTTATGAAGAAGTTAGAAATGCATTAACTAAAATCTAATGACTGTTCATCAGATTGGGACAAAAGTTCAACAGGCTCCACGGACAGGTGGTTACTGGTACTCACCAGGTAGCCGAGCTGTGCATAGATGAGGATGAGGATGAGGAAGATCAGGAAGCAGCCAGCCAGTTCCCAGGCAACCAGCCTCAGGGCCTTGCCAAATATGGACCACTGCCGTCTGAACCGCATTTGTCTTGCCACCTATGGATGGGAAAAAATCATATTCACTGTATTCAGAATCTTGCCTGTATTAGCAGTGAGGAGCAAATCTGACCATTGATAGAATTGCTTTCATGCAGAAGCTCCTAAGAAAGGACCTAGTGGTAGTGTACATATTTAAGAAAAAGTATAGAGAGACACTTGTCCATTGCTTCATGACAACTAGAGTTTCTATTGTCAAAGCTAGAAAGTCTGAGGCACCTTTATCATGAGAAGGAAGATGACCAGGCCATTGAGGTAGGCTGTGACTTGACCGAGGTAGGCAGAGTGGAAGAAGCTGATGAACTTGGCCTTGTCAGCCAGGTGCTCCCTCCAGAGCCCTGTGGTGTACAGCAGCCGGTGGATGTAGACTGCCAGCGAGGAGGTGCTGATGATGATGATGGTCCACTCGTAGTACGTCTGGAAGCGTTTCATGTAGGGCTTGAAGCCGTGTCTCTTCAGCTGGCACAACTCCACCACGATGTAGTACAACAGGAACAGAGCAAACAAGCCCTGCAGACAGGACACAGTAATGTACATGTAAGTTTCTATATGTTCACAACATATTGCTCTAAACCTTTATATACAGTGTAGTGCTTACAAATAATACTGTGTGTACTACATTTCTAAGATGGGGGTAACAAGGCACAGAAACTTTAACAGCTCATGAAATACCAGTGATGTTAGTGACAGTCTGGAAGATGTTGTGAGACTTTGCTTGCATTTAAGAAAATATATTGACCCGTTTGAAACTCAAAAGACTAAGACAGCCAAAGCCTAGCATGCTGTTTGTACACGACTGGTTGAACTGACCTGCATGATCATGAGGAGGTCCACACCATACCCGTACACCACGAAGCGGCCAGACTTGATGTCATGGGAGGCCCGCCCCACACCAGTGACAGGCAGCTCCAGCAGCAGGGTCACCACACTGAACAGGTTCACGTTAGGGTTGTACAGACTGAACTCCACAAACACTGCTCTGGTCCTGGAAAATAATAATGAATCAACTTCAAAACAGGTCTGCTAATGTGGTTATTTCATGTAAGAATAGGTCAGACTCTGTTCTTCAATGATATCGATATCATTTTGTCTTTTCAAACATGTAATCTTATAGCATCTTAATAAAAAGATGCCTTACCCTCTGTCAATCCAGTCAGTACTGTTGAGTGCTGCTAGTGCAGTGATGCTGGCGTTGTATGACTTTTGCAGGTCAACAATGTACCCATTATCAGAGTAGGATCCATCACGACCATAGTACATCAGCCTGAAGGACAACAAAAAATGTAAGCAATCCAGCAATCAAAATCATGTGTGGAAAACAAAGCAGGAGTGCTACTTTAGTGTACTCGTTATTCCAACCTTACCCATTGTAACTGTTGGTTTCACTGTAGGTCCAGTTGGCTTGGTTTGCTGTCCATGTTTCTCCATAGCTGCTGCTGTCCTCTGTAGACAACCTGACACTGGAGTAGCAGTCCCAGTCTGCTGTCCACAAGTTGGGATAGCGGTTCCCTCCTTGCAGGATACAGGTTTCTGCAATGACATCAAAATGATTTTCATTATCAAAAGTGCTATGTTTGTCCCTAAGCTATTATAAGCTTTGATAACAACAGAGAAAGGGGAAGGATACAAATGCTGACTCCCAGGGATGAAACCTGAAGGCCGAAAGGTCCAGGACCCATTATAAGGGATCGTTTTCAACTTGACATTGAAAAAATTTAACATAATTCAGGCAACAGGGCCCACCTGGAGTGTTCCTGATCTGCCTGAGCCTGACCCCGCCCAGCACCACGCCCTCCAGACTGGAGTCAGTGATGGCGTCCTGACTGGTGTCCAGTAGAGTCGGCAGGATGACAGAGTCCATGTACTCCCACCAGTCCTCACTCCTGCACAAGGAACGAGACACAAATGGTCAGAATATGCTGATTCAGACAAAACTATATAATCATTACTAAGTCTTAACATGTAGTCCTAAAGATAAGAACATACATTCACTTTTTATTAGCATAAACTGGAAACCAGTTTTACATGTGGTACTTCATTGAATGCTTTTTTAACCTTTCTAGTTCCTCCTGACTAAAACTTTGGTGCCAACTTTGCATGCAGATGCATAAGGTTAACAATGGGTTTTGCCAATCCATTCATGGTCCTTTCTGTTATATAACTGTAGATCAATCTCCAGTTAACATGAGGGAATGTAGAAGAGTGACGTACTGTGTGATAGTGAGGAAGCTGCGGTTGCTGGTCCCAAACTGCGGTTTGACCAGCGCGTCCTGGATGCTGTGGGTCATCCTGTAGGTATTGAGGTCGTTGTCGTGGAAGGCAATGACCAGCATGGTGAGGATGAAGAGGAGGTAGAAGATGCACTGGTGGATGATGGTGTACATCACGCGCACCTTCCTGGCCTCCTCGCGCGCCTGCAGCAGGCCATAACCGTACGGAGCACGGATGGCCTTGGACTTGGTACGGTCATCCTGGTTCTCAACCACAGGTCTACAGAAAGAGTTTCACCCACAAGATTTTTAAAATTTCTAAACACATCACCAGCCTGTGAGCTTTACAGATGGAAACATGTGAAATTTCAAGTTCAGGTACAAGAATGAAACAGACTAACCATTTTCTTATTATCAAGAATCAACATTTAGTAACCTAAAAAATGTCTTATATCATCCTTACAGAATTTAGAGAAATAATCATCAGCTATTAATTACCTATCCACAAGATCGTCCTCATCATTGTGGTCAGTAGGCTTGCTGATGGAGGCCAGGAACAGGGCGATCAGAATCACCCTGATGGGCTCCATCAGGAACATGGACTGGATCAGGGACAGGAACATGGACAACACCCACTTGGTGGCTTGGTCACGCCCAAAGGCCTGCAGAAAAGAGATGGGCATGTAAGTGGATCCTCAAACAAGGACATCAGTCCAGCAGCACTCAGACTTATGGCCTATCTTTGCATTGTTAAAGTAGCAAGTGAGTACAAAAGGATGAGTCAGAAATGTGTGTTATAAAATTATCAAGAGATCTTGTTGTTAGCATTAACCTTATTAAGGTACAGGGCACGCCTGTAAAGCAGTATATTGTACTGAGTGCGTCTACCCTGTATAAAGAAGACAGAAATAAATAAATTAAAAACAAGGTGTTTGTGCTTACCTGTCCATACATGATGATGACAACCATGCAGCCAGCAATGATGATGGCACACAGCAGGTAGGCGATGTACACAAACCAGTAGGGCAGCAGCCACTTCCCCTTGTCATCATCACTAAGGCTCTCAACTGAGGGGCAGCAGAACATGTTTGTTAGATGAGTCCCTCTGAACCATGCAATTATATATCATGTCCAGTTGCCTAAAAGACTGTCAATACCTTCTGGTTTTCTCAGAGTGAACCAACATACAAATACCAAACTGGAATAAAAAAGAAAAGTATAATCCTCAGCTGATTTACACACAAAGTTTCTAAGCTATTGAAGGATTTGTCAGCTGACCTGAGCTGCTTGAGGCTGGCCGGCGGCGCTGTGGAGAAACACTGCTGTCCACCGAGGTGGTGTCTGACTCCAGCAGGAAGGTCTGGGTCTGCTGGCTCTGGTCAGACTCCGAATGGATGGACGGCTCCAGGGTCTTGTGTATCGGATCCCCAATCCCACTGAAACATGGAGTGCAACACCAAATTAGGTTGGATGATTTTATTAGCCTCTTTGGGTTGCTTCATCTTAAAACTTAGAACTCACTGCCCTTGGGAAATTCACTTGACATGACTTTACTCACTTCACTCAGGTGAAAATTAGCGTAAAATTTACACTAATGGAGATGCTAATCAAATAAAGAAACAAACCTGTCAAGGTCAGCATCAGACCTGGGCGTGAAGCTGCCGCTGGACTGCAGGGTCCGGCTGGAGTCCTTCTGGTCAGACGTCTCGTCCATGATGGACGTCCAGAACTCGTCTGAGGTCAGCAGGTCATCCACACTGTGGGTGCGCGACATCTTCCCATCAGCTTGGCTTCTGGGACCAAAATGGTATGGGTACATGTATTATTAAAAAAAAAATGAAAATGGAATATTAGTATAAGTATTTACCTCATTCATATATCATTTAATACTTAATTGAATCACAACAGTTACTGAAGTTGTGCCAGTGGTCCCTGGCATACTTACTTTGTGGACAGGAACTGGCCAGTCTGCTTGCTCTTCTGGGTAGGAGCCGTCTTGCCCCAGGAGTCATCATCATCATCATCTGACAGAACAGCATCCACATGGATTCCCGGGATGTCTTTCCCACCATAGCGACCCGTCTTCTTCCTCTTCAGCTGAGACTTCTTGGGTTTGCTTGGTGCCTGATCTGTGTCCGACCAGTTCATGATGCTTTCATAGGACCAAAGTTTGTTCCGCTCTTGCAGAGTCCTGTATGAACAGTAAAATAACTTGCCATTAAAAACAGCACTTTTGTGTAATTCCAACATACCCTTAAAAATCTGGACTGAATTGTTGTTAAGTTGATATCAGAGTGCTCAGTTGTTACAGAACAGCGATCAGTGGTAATCTTACAGTGTTTACAGTGGGCTTTAAATGAATGAAAGACCTTTATTGTACATCTATGCCATTACAAGCTAGGTACAGGTCATGGTGATAAAGTTCTACAACAATAACAGTGATACGAGTCGTATCTTACTACATCTACAGTATACCTTTATGTACAGGTTCAACTTTTTCTCGCTTCTTAAGACAGTTGTTTGTGCGAAAGCAGATAGAGCTTATAATACATCGATTATCGAGTTGCATGAGGATATTCCTTAACACTATTTCGTACGATGTATGACTGTAAAACTTGTAAAATAGGCCATTAGAAAATAAGCATTTATTCCAGTGTATATACTGTGGCTGAACTGACCTCTTGTCCTTCCTCAGGTCCTCCCAGCTGTCCACAATACTCATCTTCCCTCCCCGCGGGCGGTACTCCGTCTCATCATCACTGTCATCATCATCATCCTGCCAGGCACTGCGGAAACTCTGAGAATGCTTCATGTTGTTGTTCTGTGAAGGTAAGGAGGTGATGAGTTTCGCAAGTATATTTTGTATTTTGCATGTCACATCAATGAGTGTTTATGCAATGCAAATTTGCTAGTTTAAGCATCTTCATTTGATGGGCACATCTCTTTGCTTATCAAATAATAGAATTTGTGTGCAAAAAATTACTGTTGAACTGTTTCAGGCAATCAGTGAGTCGTAAGCTAATTGAAGATGAATGACAGTAGAAATAAGTCATAGCCTAACCCTGTTAGTAAAAATAGATGATGTCAAATTGTCTTGCAAGTTACTTGTGTCCAGCCAATGACTATATATATGTAACACTTAATACTTGCTGGATGATAAGACAGGACTTACAGAGATGGTGCGATGGTCAAACAGGGCGAATGGATCAGTCTGCCCTGACATGGTGATGAGGGACTCCCCGTTCTGGGATGTGTTACACATCACGTCCATCTCTATGGTCTGAGCTGTCTGTGCCCGCTGTGCCACCGGCTGATAGTAGTCGGTTGCTTTAACCTGTGGATGGGGGAAACAGATTGATGTTATACATTTAAATGTACTCTTTCCTTCCTAGTGCCACAAAAGTTCACGTATAAGTCTCCCAACATCTGACCAGTTTTTGATAGAGCTGTAATTGTATCATTACTTGACACAGATGGAAATATTACCTGATTCCTTCCCTGAAAAGAAAATGAGAATGCATACCTTGCTCTTTATCTTGCGGAACAGTGTGACAATGAGGAGGTTGATGGGGAAGACCATCAGGTTGCTGATGATGCCCACTGCTAACTCCTCCCAGGAGAAGGCATAGTACCAGATCTCCACATCCTAGACAACAACAGGGAAACCACATCAGTCTACACTTAGGCATATAAACCAGACCATGGTACAAACTATGTTACATTTAATGGCACAATCAATAAGCAATGCAAATAAGTGCAGCAATGCTTTGATGCATTAATTCTTGACATGTGCACTATATGTGTTTTTTATAAAAACAACACTAACTGTAACAGTATTCTAGATATATGGACTGAAGAGGAAATATTTAGCTCTCTTCTACTAACAACTTGAAGATATTTCGTACCTCAGTGTTGGTCTTGATGAGCCCGTACCACATGGCATTCACACACATGAAGGAGTAGACCAGGGTGGCCAGACAGGTGACACGCTGCACGCGGGTGAAGCGGTTCCTGGCAGGCCGTTCCAGGATGGAGAGCCACAGGTGCTGCTCTGACAGGCCACGAGCTGTCTCGTTCTTAAAAACTGTGGAGAACTTCTTCAGGGCATCTGGGCCTAGAGAGATGAAGAAACAAAGTATCAGATCATTGTGCTTTTACTTCTGTATGAAAATATCAAAGAATTTACTTTCACCCTTCATTATTCCATTCCTCAAACTAAGCCCTAGCATTGTAAAATACAATGTCGTATACATGACAATTACAATACAGAACTAAAAGGAACGGGCAATATAAAATATACTGACTTGCAACATAGACGTCTTTTTCTACAAAGCCATCAGGCTCCTCCAGTGAGAACCAGCTGTTGGCTACAAAGTGGTAGCGCTTGTCAGTCTGAATGTCGTGTACAACAAGTGATTTCAGGTTCCACGATGGGTCCAGTCCTGTAGGAAGGAATAAATTCTGTCAATCAACTTTTATGCAAAATGTATTACTAATTATTCACTAGCTGTCAAAATTTTTCCTTAGTTACCATATACATGTAATGTATATGTGTTGTTTTTATTGAATAAACCAGCTTTTAGGATCAGCAGCATAGAGACTCCTTGCTCACCTGTGTTGTCGTGCCAGATTTTGATCTTGATGATGTCACCCAGGCTCCCGTCCACAGCTATCTGGAACACGTCCGTGCTGTTTCTCTGGAAGGCGTTGGGTTTCAGCAGAACACGCCGGCCACTCTTCTTCCCATTGGAACCAAATATGTTCAGTCCAACATGAGCAGTTGTTCCTGTAAAGGACACATTGGGATATAGTGCGTCAACTACTGGTATAAAGCTTTCTGTACAAAAAGTGTCAGGTTAGAATGTTATTGTTTGATCCTATTGACTGTTCACTTAATCCTGAACACAACAAGAATTCTGCTGACCTGAGCCTCTGGTCATTCCAGTCATCACGGAGATCTCGTACTTGTACGGACCGTCCCGGCCGCACAGCGGGACCACTGCCACTTTCCTGATGTCCCGCAGGTCCAGCTTCCTGACCACAAACCCAGCCACCAGGAACACCAGCAGCCAACTCATGCAGGTAATCAGAGCTACAGGGTTCTGGGCAATGTCCTCCAGAGTCTGCGGAAAATAACACAAGGTTAGGCTTTCGATTACCATGGGTATATGTGCGTAAAATATACTGAAATTAATGTAGCTAAACATTCAGCACAGAGGCACAATTATGAAAGTAGTCACCATTTGAAAGAGCCATGGCATGGAATGAGTAAATTTCTAGTCATATGCAGTATTTATTGATAAAAGAAATTTTTTTGTCTCTGTCAAAAGACTTCAAGTTAACATAGGTGTTAGAAGTGTCCATAGATTGCTCCAGCACTCGTGAGAATGGACTTTTGTTTTCAAAGGTATTTACTTGTGAAACATCCTCTGTTTGTTAACACAGTCAAGCTGTAGCAAGTCAGCCCAACACATCGTGACCAGCATAATCTCTGCGGTCTTCTCCTGAAGCCCTTACAGGACTTAACTCCCATTTTGACAACAAAGGCTGGGGAATTACCCATGATCACACAATGATCAGTTACCATGGTGATGCCAAACATAAACTGGAATCTCGGCAATGAATACTGAGATGAGATGATGTACATGTTGTTGTGATATGCAGGTGTGTCTTCTTTCAGTCTAGGTTTTTGGCTGGTGACGCAACTAGTATATCCACAACAGTCTTTATAATATCAGTCACTACACAATGAAATTAAGATTCAGTATTAAACTTACTGGGAAGTCCTCCAGGGTGATGGCATTTGGTGGCAGTAAAACAACAGCCCCAAAGGATGTGAGATGGGAAGTGTAGCACACAGACACAGTTGCAGTGGACTCAGAGCTGGCAGTCACACCAGCGTCATCCCACTGTTCAGTGTCCTGGTTGTAGTACAGACAGGAGGAGCAGTAGAGCCCTACAGACAACTTCACCCCCTGCTTCTGGTAGTTGTTTGTAACAGTCAGGTTTACTTCTGACATCCCGGCACGCTCACTGGAACAGACAAGGGTTGAAAACTTCAATAGGTGCTACCGGCATTAAGTTTGAGAAAGTCAATACTAATTATCATGAAGCAACAGGAAACTTAAGGACTAATAATTCAATGGTTCTAACTGCTGTGGTAGATGGACCCTTTCATTTTTCTCACCTTGGTTCGAAGAACAAGGTGTAGGCCCTGTGGTCACCTGTCTGTCTCATCAGATCCCGGGTCAGCACCAAGGTTCTGTTGTTAGTCCCTACATACCAAACGGTGACCGACTGATCATCCTCTGTACTCCCTGCAACCGTTTCGTTGTACCTGACCTGGATGTACACAGCACCTCTACAGTCTGTTATGTTGACGCGGACGTTAATGGCTCCGCCAGCCTTGATGGATCCATCAGTGGTGCTCAGTCCCTCCGAGGGATCGTAGGCAGGACTGCCCACCAAACTGCCCCCTGAGATGGGCTTGGGATTCTGGGAGCCTCCCTTGAACATGAAGACCTTGATTTGATCGTCCTCAGGCAGGTCGTTCACACCCACTTCTGTCTGGTCGCTTCTGGCAAACTGCAGGGACATCATCTGGGAGGAGATGTGGTCCTGGTGACCCCAGGTGAAGGGGTTCGTGTCGAAAACCATCTCAATCTGACTCACCACCTCTGTAGACGTGCCCAACACACTGCTGGGGACGACAAACTGACTGCCACTGATGTTCTGGGCAGTGCTGACGACGCTGGCCTGTGTGAGCTTGGCCCGTGAGGAGACGGTGGGTGCAGTGATGACCAGGTCCTCTTCTCCCTCCACCTTGTTCTTGAGCAGGGCATAGTTGTACCTGGAGGCCAGGCTGTAGGACTTAGTCACCACTGCCTTCCTGTGGGTTTCACTGTAAGGCAAACAAACAATTGTTTATTATTAAGTCTTACAAATCATTTGCCACCAGTCTTATCCATATAACTAATAAAGTGAAAGCATTATATGATTATCAAGTAATTTAGTAAGTGATTATAAGCCTGAAATAAATTCCAAAACATTGGTTGGACCATGCAACCAAGGAACAAGCTGACTCTGGTGTATGTTCTTTTTACTGCTACAGTATATTCCTAACTACCATAGACTCCATACCTAAACATATTGTGCGCTGTATGCTAGTTGTCTTAAGACCAAGGTCATACTACAACACACTTCCACATGTACCTGAAAGTGCTGGCTTTGGCTGCCTCAATGATGTTGGAGATGATGTTAAAGATGTTGGTGGCCGTGTCCTTGTCCACAACCTGCCCCTCTTCAGCCTCTGCCTCTTGTATCTGCACCATGGCCTCCAGCGCACTGGTCAACCCTTGATGGCTACTTTCTGAGATCATCTCTTTGGGAAACTTCTGCAAATGGCCACGGTGAGGGGTTAGACTTCACTATACCTGGGGCTGCATGTACCATCATGTGGGAATACTGCATGATATTTCTAGCACCTTTTGCATTATGTGAAATAAAGGTAACTATCCTCAGCTAATATGCCCCCTTTGGTGACCAGGTATGATTGACACATTTGTAATGGAAAACTTTTCCAGGACAGATTTTTTTTAAGTTAATTCAATTATCGAGGTCCCTTGACTGCCCATATTGCAATAATGGTAACTCCCATTACTGACTACTTAGTAAGTGATGATGCTATCGTACAAATAACTGTGACAACATGTTGAGTAGTGGCAAGTACATGTTAATTTTTAAACTCCACTGACATTTTAGTGCCTCCCTACTGTTGATCTAATGCCAGTCTGGAATGTGTGACGGGCACAATTGTGTAGCAGGAACACAGGCTGGTTTGTGCTGTACTGGTGCCAGCGTGTCAGTGCTCAGTAAGCACACAGGACGGGAAATGAAAAAGCTGTGGATTTTTCCCCCCACTTTGCTGTTACAGGTGCATTCCTCAAATGGCATAAGTAGACTTTGCAGAGTTTTTCAAAGTGGCTTATCAATGCATGCCGGGTTAGAAGTCACGAGGAAATGAAAATGAAAAGCAGACTACGTGCTGCTCCAGATACGGGAATGTTCTGATAGGAGGGGTTAGATGTTGGTTTTGCAGTGGTGCAGGGGACCTATCTGAAACCAAACAGACAGCACAAAGGGGTATGACGCACATTCATTGTGGGGTACATTTTGTAGTTATTCAGGGCTGGGTTGTCCTTTCTTCATGGACACAGGCCCTGGACAGGAAATGCACTAAAGGTGTTTGGTCCAGATAAAGGTAAATCTGACTTGATGACAGACACGGCTTCATCGTTTTTTTTCATTACTGTGAGAAGAGGGGGCAAGGAAAAACAGAATAACCCCAAAAATATGCCACAAATGGCCAGTGCCTGCTAACTACTAAGTTTAGCTATATTGTGATGGAAAACATATTTAAAGGAGAAACAATAATGTTTTGAAGGAAAGTGGAAATTCACAAAATTGTGGTGCTCATTATCCTTACATCAAAAGTTAATGTACAGTTATGAAGTGTCACCCATGGGACAGAGTGGCGACAGGATGACTCAATGGGCTTGTTATGGTACAAGTGTCATCTGTCGTGCAGACTGACAGACTTTCTGGCGTTATCAAGGGAATGTCTACACAAACAATACCACAATGATGTCATGTTTAATTTTGTGTGGTATAGGTACACAAAAAAGGTTACAAATGTCACCACATTTCAGCCTCAACAAGGGCTTAATTGACTTTAGACAGGCACTAGAAGAAAGACAAATATTTAGCTTAATCAGACAGAGTGGTTGAGATAGGACTCAGCAGCAAGAGTCTTTGTTGACTGAAAGTTCACAAGACAGGTAAGACCAACAGTTCCCATATGTATGATCTGGGTCACCCAACACACACATGTAGCAAACGGTTATGAGGGAGAACTGAGACTTGTTTTCTTTTTCAGGATACCCACAACTTTCTGCAACCTAGATGTCTGACATCCTGGGAGGTTAAAACTATTATTCTTGGCTGTACTTCCTATTTTCATAATACTCCAGAGACTCTTCATATTACACCGTATAGTACCCTAAAGAACGTTGACACCACTAGAAGAATGACCGAACATTAGCGTTGATTTCGCAATCCTGTATCACTATCAACAGATGGCTGGTACAGGCCTTCAACTGGGATACATGAAACCGTGGGTAAAAACAGAAGGCGGTTACGAGGAGAATAGGGTTCCTTTGACGAGGTGTTGATTTCTATTAAAGGTCCTGGTTAAGAACACAACCAAATTCTGTGGCCTTGTTCTGACTAACGTTTCTTCCCGTCTCCAGTTTCTTTTGTGTAATAATCCTGACATCGTCCAGGTTTCAACAAGCTTTTCAAGTGTCCCCAACTCTACATGAAAGGGAGCCAGATTGAGTTTCCTGCCTTCCCACACTGCCGCGGCACTGGACTCATGTAGGGAAGCACGTACTGTACATTTTTCACAACAGATTCGACATAACCTTTACATTGTACAAACCCAAAAGAGCATTGTACTGGTACAAACCAGCAACCATGGGCTCCTTCTTGTTGGTTACAACTTATGCATTGTACAAAGAATGACCTTGTAAATCCTCTTGAACACAACGTTTTTGTGTTTCTTGGTTGATGTTTTTGTTTTTGGAAAAAAGCTCAAGATGGTGAATAATCACTGCTTTCTTGTCTGTTTAAACTGAAATAGTGGCTGATTCATACACAGACAGGCAGTGAAAACAGAGGATGGCATTAGTCCTGCTCCAATAGTTTCAGTTAATTGGATCAACGAAGGAGGAGGAGCTCTACTTAAGGCCTACAACCAGCCTGTCCAGGTAACAGCCCCCTAGGGTCTATGTCACTTCTTTACTACTATACACAACTGACCAAAGCTGACCAAAAGTTGAGATAAAAGTGTCAATAACATTCTGCCATCACACAACACACCATAGAGATCCAGGAATGGTAAATAAGGCATCAGTTTCTCTGCACTTTGGTGACATCTGTCTCTCCTCTGCTTCTTTTGATATACAGTTGCAGAGTATACTGTTATCCAACTTCAATCTGTTCCTAAATCAGCTGAACAAGCTGTTTGTCCTGACTTCATGTTGCTTCTGCTTCTACATGTCTGCAGTACTTTCTTTGTTCTTGGCATAGTGTGTTTTTAAGGGACACTGTGTGTTGAAGGGATTTGTTCCTGGGACTGCTCCTGAAGAGATTGCTCAGACACTAAACCAGGTACAAAGACCACAGGGGTTCTGTTTTGACAGCAAGCAGCCTCAGGTGTTGACAGATTGAATACAGGTTCAGAGGACGAAAATCTGTATCTGTAGACACTACCTCGATTTCAACACATTTATGTAAAAGGATTTATTTCAGCGCATGCTCATGCATGTGTAACATTACAGCCGGTCAGACATGCATTGTTAACCACTTCTTATACTTCTTCATTTTTTATACCTAACGCACCATTGGGATTATCCTTATATTGAATTTTAGGAGCATTCTATCTTGACAGTTGTTTCAAGTTTCCTGTATATATTTTTACTTACATGTCTAAAACTCCACTCACAATCTGCCTTGGTGACAGTTTTGAACTCACCGTGCACAGCGACAGAACAGCAGCAAACTGCCTGATGTCCTCCTTGGTGGTGACAGACCCTGACAGTGACGTCACCTTGTCGAGGATGGTGCTCCGGACACTCTCCCGATCGCTGAACTCCCCGTCATTCGCATCCCTTGCCCAGGCCCACGCAGACTCGTTATTCAGAATCGTTACCAAAGCAACTGCTGACCCCAGAACCTGCTGAATGTCGCCGTCCTGTTCAGCTGTCTGCAGGTCTGTGGCTGTTCTGTTGGACAGCCACTGTACAGCCGTGTCAAACCCACCCAGGTCCGTCTGCTCTGGATACTCCACAGTCATGGTGCTGTGTGCACACAGAGAAATGGATCAATTTCTTGCACAACTGACCATTATGAAAAAACTAGTCCTTTATACTGCCGTTCGCCTGTTGTGCAAATATCATCACAGCTAAAAGCAATCCAAAAAATTCCAACTGTCAAGCTTTTAGATGACTCTTGTGTAAACTTGAATAGCCAAAGTACATTGTTGACTTTACCTGTTACACAAGAACAATGTGTATTTCTACAAACTGTGCAACAAAAGTTCAACAACTCAAACCTTCTGCTACAGAATTTCAAAAACTTCAAAACTTCATCTTCTGCATTCTATGTCTGTACCCAACAACCAAACTACACAATCCAATTGCACCATGTTGGATAATCCTTTGATAAGTCTAGACCAGGATGTGCCCTAAAAGTTTATCCAAAGAGTCAATATGTACCCTGGTAGCCTTAGTCACTGTTCAGGTTCCCATTTCTGCCTTTTGTCAATCCAATCTCTTTTGAAGGCTTCAATATCTATAGACCAATTATCTTCTAAAAGCTTTTCATTAGCTTAATTATGAAGCTGTCATTAAGCTCAGCAAGACACTTCTGTCTGCCATAACCACCTAATTAGCAAAGCAAACATACTGACAGAACAAATAAATCAAATGACTTGCTTGTCTGCTTTAAAGTTCTTTAACCTTCCCCTGCTGAGTTCCACTTCCCTACCAATTTAGCACATGGATGCACCCACAGCAGGGGGCAGGTTAAATGTCTACCAACCACCTGCATTCAATCAGACTTTCTACCACTCCAACCAGAATGGTACAGACTAGGCCCTGTGCTTGTTTTTGCTCTAATTTTCTCAAATCTAAATTTCTATTCTTGCTGAAAATACATTTCTCAGATAGGCTTGATGAAATGGAAAATAAAGTTAGATTGTCAATAGTATTTACCAGCAAAAGAGACTCAAAAAGATATTAAGTTATTACCTGTTGAATGCTTCAGTCTGAGCTCCCAGCCGATCCTCCAAAAGGATGACCAGTCTGACGTTGTCATTCCGCTCCTCCAGACCCATGGGCAGTGTGGACTGGTACGTGCTTTGTGTGCCCCGGTAAAGCAGGAAAGACTCGTAGCTGTGCTGCCCAGTCTGCCTCATCACAATGATGTTGATCAGGAGATCTGCATAAAATGTTGTTATTGTCGTTCCATCCCGAGCACTCAAAGGTCACCGTGGTGTATGATGCTATGATTTTGGCATCATTGGCACTTGCAGTGCAGAATCCTCCGCTAGGGGGATCGTTATGGTCCAGGTGTAGAGTTGCGTATCCATGTTGGAGACCGTCGGTAACAGTTAAGGTGAAGGTGTAACCGTGACCATTGGCCAGAGCACCTGGCCGAAGTACGAGGTTCTTAGAACTGTCTCCTGTTGTTGTGGTGTATTTGGTAAGCTCCAGCACGCTGTTGTCGTCTGCTCTCACGTCCCATTTGTACACGGCATCTGGGTTGCAGTTCTGGCACTCCCCTGTCACTGTCACGTGTTGGTTCCAACTGACAGTCATGGTGTTCAGGGAGATGCAAGACACACATGTGATGAACACTGATGGGACGTTCTGCACGTTTACCTCAATCTGGAAGGGAAAGAAAATCACAATCATTCATCTGGAGAAATCCATCAGCTTAGAGTGCAACAATAAAGTCGTTGAATTTTGTTGACTGATGAAGAGAAATTTGCCCTGTACATGTGTAGTTGACGTACAGCTTTATATTTGCCAACACAAAGATCCTGACAGTGTTTACTCTTTGTTTTATTCATAATACACCCTAAAGGTACATCAAACTTTATGTTTTATCTTTTCATATACAAAACAAGCAAGTCTAGTGTTTTACAAAGAATTTGTCTAGCAATGCCTGAACAATCTAAAGGTCTGAATTGTGACATTTTTATATTGTATTGTGGTTTGCATGCTGAAAGCCCAAAGCAAAGACTGACATCTTAACCTATTCAGATCTGAAGTGCCCAAGCTAGCTAATTTAGCCTTTTGGCAACAGAGAAAACATAGCAGTAGCATATCTCCCAGGTGATGACATGTCTCAGAGACAGTTGACGTGACAGAGACAAACGCAGCCTTTCCTGCCTTATGGGCAGATAAAGTTCTAGTTGGCGGGCAGTGTTGAGTGACAGGCGAACGTGCCAACAACAACAGGGCGAGCACAAATATGGGGAAATCAGACACCTGCTTTGCAATACTGCCAGACAATGTTGCTAGTGGAAACATACACAGATGGGAATGACCTTGCGGGTTGCCACAAGACCACCAACACGGCGGCACATACAACGTCAACCAACGATAGACTGGCTGATTGTTGTCATACCAAACATGACTTGACCTATATCATTCAAGGTAAGGAGCCTTGGTGACCTTCAGATACTGTTGCCTCCTGGGCTGTGGTTTAGTTTTGCATGGTGATTATTAAAAAGAAGTCTACACCAGAGGCTACCAGGATCATTTGTCAATGTTATTGTCACACCTTGTAATGTTAAGTACACCACAAGTTAAAGGTATATCACATGTTCAAAAGCAATTTTAAAAACAAACAAACCATTGTGTGTATAATAAAAACATATGAGAGTGTCAAACTTCCAACTTACCCCCTACCTTCTTTTTTTCTGCTGCAGCCCAATTTTGTTTAGTTTGCCTATCCATGTTGAAAGTTATGTATTTATCAAATGTGTCAAAATAAAAAGTATGGAAATGATGTTGACATACCGTTTGTTGTGCAGACTGAGGGACGCGGTCCTGTTTCCCAACTGTTAGATTCAGGAGCAATGTGATTCCTTCGGGCAGTGTGTTTGCAGGGATGGCCACCAAGCTCTTGTGCTGCAGCGTGGTCCAGTCAATGAGACTGCATGGGTTGGGATGATTCTGCCCAACCTGTCAAAAAGTGGTTCTGTTTTAGCATCCCTGTCTGCCAACGCAAATTGGAACCTAGGACCATAGTTGCTCTGATTTCTATTCTATAGCCGAAATTGATACTGCAGCAAAATACATGTACTTCTCAAAGCTTACATATAAATATGATAAATTTGCACGGCTATCTACATGTATACATACAGCAAAACCATAAAGCCACCTGATGTTTAAGTCCAAAATTAAGTAGATGTAACATCCCTTTCAAATGTCTAGTACCTATATACATGAGGAAGGATCACCTGTGTGCATTGCCACTGGAAGGTCAGCCCTGTCTTGTCCGGAGTGTCGGGGTCAAAGGACGATGTTCCATCCAGCAGCAGCTCCTGTGTGGACGACTGGGTCCTGGTGGTGCCTCCCTTGATGAGAGGTGTGAGGGGAGATGCCTTCACACGGAGGGAGAACCTTACAACAGACAGCACTGGGGTGTCCTGGTAAACAATCTGGTACTCAATGCAGTAGAGGTCATGGTCGAGGGTTTGTTCAGGCAGGACCAGCCGTGTAGATGCACGGTTGACGGATGACGGAAGCGTGATGTTATTGACGCCACACTGGCTGCCCTGGTACACTGTCCACTGGTGGATCACTCTGTACTTGGTACAATCAAAGGTGTTTGTGTCCACCTCCAAGTATGCTTCACTGGACCTCAGAATTTCCTTAGTCGTGAGGCCAACTCTGTCCACTGTTGGTTCCTGGCACATCAACTCCCGAATCGTGATGGCGATTTCCTTCACAACCAGACTTATGTTATTGAAGGCTTTGACTCTCACAAGATAGTCTCCGGCAGTGGGGAAGGTGCGATTTTGATCAGACACTGAAGTTTCAAAAACTGGAAACCCATCATTGAATGTCCACTCGTAATAGACATCACTCCCGGAGGAGATGTCCATGTGGAATGACACGGTGGCATTCTCGTACAGGTTTATGATGTTGCTTGTAACCAGCTCTGCACTTACAATCTCCTCCTGTACTGTGAAGGTTTCAGTCACAGTGACACTGTTCAGCCTATTTTCAGCCATAAGGCTCACTGACTGAACGCCCAACTGTGCTGGTGCAAATGTCATTGTCTCGCCTGTCGATGCAACAGAAGTGCCATCTTGTAGTATGACCTCCCACGTAAATGCGATGTTGTTTCCTGCTGCCCATTTGGCTGCATACTCCAAGTGCTCCCCAAGGCTTAAGAAACCATTGGCACAGTATGGCATGCTGCAATTAGTGTTGATGGCTAGACCTTCAATACGCTGTAACACGGTGATATTGACAATATACTCCTCTTGACCAACAAAGTTTCGCACCTTCAGAGACACATTATATGTACCGGTTTTGGAGTAGCTGTGCAATATAGGTGAGGGCAAGGAATTTCCAATCATGGGCGGTCCATCCCCAAAGTCCAACTCATATTCCAAGTCTGTACCTTCCACTTGATGAGTGAAACTGATAACCTCCAACATTTCCACATACGATGCATTGGGCCTCAGACTGTAAACAGCAGGCCTCTTCTGTACCACAATTGTCCGTGTGATATTCTGATGGCTGACATTATTGTCAGCACTCAGAGAAGCCGTTTGGTTACCAAGACTATTGTACACCATTCTTGCTTCGTCCAAGTCCAAGCCATGGGATGTTGTTACTCTGCCCCCATCAGTAAATCTCCAGCTGTAGGTGACATTGCTGCCACTGGTAAGTGTTGCTACAAAGTCGGTGAATTCGTTCTGACCAGCATAGTTGTTAGTGTCAGTTGTGGTGATTTCCAAATCAAGCCCAGAGATTCTTTCAAGGATTTCCACAGGCAAGGAAGTAGACTTCATTGAGCTTAAGTCATTGCTGACATTCACTGTGACAAGGAAGGTACCAGCAAGGTTATATTGGTGCTGAACTTGAGGTTCTGATGTTTCAATGTTCGGACTGCCATCTCCCAGGTTCCAAACAAATGTACGGTTTGTCCCCATAGACACTGCTGTAAACGTCACTTCTTCCTCGTTGCTTGCCATTGTTTTGGAGGCAGTGACTACCACATCAGTCACCAGCTCAATCACATTCACAGTCACACTGGCTTCGCTGTCACTGACACTGTTACTCACCACCACTGCAACATCGTACTGTCCAAAGTCTGGGAACGTAACATGAACCTCAGATCCTGTAAGGCTGACAACGTGGGACCCATACTTGCTGACCTCCCACTGGTAGTGGTCAGCCCGTCCCTGGGTGACATTGGCAGAAAACGTGTATGCCTGGCCCGCAGCATGCAGGGACCCTGCTGATAAGTCACCATAGATCTTTGCACCTTTCACAGGGTAAATGACCGTGACAGTAGTTGACACCTCCTCGCTGCTGACTTCATTTGCGACGTTCACAGAAACTTCAAACGCGCCCACATTAGCAAATGGTCTTGTGATGCTGTCACTTCCGACAAACGATGTGCACGTGCTGCACAGCTTCCATGTGTACTGTGGGTCAGTACCAACTGTGATGGCTGCATCAAAGACGACGGAAGAACCCACCAAGATCTCAGCCGTTGCATTGCTGCTGAGATGTAGACCTTGTACGGTATCTTGTACAGTGATGATTTTACTGTTAGAGGAGCTGCTTACATCATTTGAAGCATTGACTGTGATGATGTAGATCCCTGGTGCATCATACTGGTAGGCTTGGAGATCCCCAGATACGACAGCTTGATCAGAACCAAAGTTCCAGGAGTAGTCCACTTCCGTCCCTGCTGCAACATCAGCCTGATATGTGTAGATACTTTGTGATCTAACAAAGTCTTGGTTTATGCCATTATGTGTTATACTGATCCCTGCAATCTCTTCTACAACTCTGACTGTGGTTGTTAAAGATGTTGTTGTAACTTCGTTATGTACAGTAACGGTCACATTGTAGTTCCCAGCTGACCCATAGACATGTGTGACTACTGAGCCACCATCAAATGTCTCAAGAACACCATCTCCAAAGTTCACACTGTACACATAGTGAGAGCCAGTTGTTAGTACAATGTTAACTGTTGTCTGATGACCCAACGCAGTGGGCCCGTTGTTTGTGACAAAAACTCCACTAATCGGCTCCTGAACACAGGCATAGATCGTTTCCCGCAACACCTTCTGTGTGTTCTCCACCTTCAGTCCAACCGTAAAGTTGCCTGTTGTTCCATACCTGTGTGTGATGACGGGGGACCCATGTACTGTCATGGTATTGTCATCTCCAAAATCCCAGGTAAACTGCAGGATGCCTATATTGTCTGTTGTTATGGATGCCTCGAATGTTGTGATCTTCCCCAGCTCTGTACAACTCCCTGAGCTGACGTTATTTATTGTGAAGGAGCTGATAACCATCACTACAATAGTCTCCCACTCAGAGCTGATGTCATTGAAGGCTGTCACATTTGCAGTGTAGTTGCCAGGATATGTGTAGGTGTGCATGATCGGGCTTGTTAGGTTGTAAAGCACAAATCCATCCCCCATATCGGAGTTAAACCGAAGGTCTGTTCCAGTTTGTACTCTCGCAGTTAAAGTTGTGACCTCATTCATCTCAGTCACTTCTGGAGCTGTTGACAGTTCCAAGCCAGTGACTTTAACTTGAGCTTTGACCAGTACAAAACCCACTGCTTTACTAACTCCGTTGTCTGCCGTCACGGAGACATTGTAGGTAGCAGCAACTGCGTAGGTGTGAATGCTGACATTTGAGCTGCCTTCATCTGTTGAGGAATCATCAAAGTTCCAGCTATATGTGACATCTTCTGTAGCACCTTGTGGGGTAGCAGTCAGAGTCACAGGCTGTCCTAGCTCAACTGCCACTGGCGAGGCTGTAACACTGACTCCGGTAAGCTTTGGACGGATTTCAACTGTATGCTGGGCAGATATGTTTCCATAATCATTGAATACAAGGACATTTGCAGTGTAGATTCCAGGGGTAGCAAAGGTGTGGTTAACACTCTCTTCATGCTGCACCAAGTATGTGTTGGCAATAGGCGCTGCACCAGTGTAAGGGGCAGTGGAGGATGTTGTGTCACTTTGGCCGTCCCCATAGTCCCACTGCCAGGTAAAGTCATAGTAAGAGTCCACTGCTGCCGTGGCTGTGAAGGTAACAGCATCACCAGTAGCCACTAAGGCCGGTGGGTTGACAAATGACAGGTCTTGCATGGGCTCCATTGGGTCGATGGTAATGCCTAGACTTGCATTGGCAGAACCATGAGGATTTTCGATTTCAACATAGATAGTATGTGTTGTGGCTTCAGAGAACGTGTAGAAAAATGATGCACTATCTGCATTGAGAACAACGGGGTCGTCGATGTACCACTGGTAGGAGTTGACTGACGTCCCGGTGGCATAGGTGACGGTGAAGGTCTGCTGTATCCCCACAGCAGTTCGAGGGCTGGAGGAGGTGATGGCCACACCACTGATGACCTCATCCGCCTGAACATTACTTGTTACAGCTACTTGACTCACAAGATTTGTCAACTGGACTCTCAAAGGAAATGAATTAGCGTAGTTGTCATACTGCTTGGTGTAGAAAGCGTAGCTTGTAGTGTTTGATGTTGGAGTACACTCCTGAGGAAAGTCTTCAATGTCATCTGGACAGGTGTCTTGGAAGGGAATCCCTGCATGTGCTTCCCCCCAGAAAATAAAGGTAGCAGAAACGTCAGTTCCTTTGGTGATCATGACAACAAAGTTGTACTCCTTGCCTGTTTCCAGGTGGATAATACCATCAGCACCTGGGACAGGGTAGATCAACTCAGCACCCTCTATGGCATCTTCAAAGGTGATGGTGCAGTTGCGAGAAGTTCTTTTTGTGACTGGGTTTTCCACAATGGCTGCAAAGGTAACAGTGCCAACTGGCCTTGCTTTGATAATGTCAGCATTACTTGGACTATATGAAAATGTTTCACTGACAGTGTACATGGCTCGGATTTCAAAAAGCGCGTAGTCAAACCAAGTGTCTGGGTATTCCTCCGGGTATGTCCACGGCCCGACCCAGTCTTGTTGTTCCATGTACAGAGCACTTTGTACCCATTCAGACGTTGAGGAGTTGTAATACTGTAAAGCATCCTTGCTATCAAACTGAATACCAATGATGTCGTCTTTTAACACAGTGAGTGGCTGCTGAGAGATGTCGACTCGGACCAGGGTGCGCTCTGTCACACTGATTTGCAAATTGGTTTCCCCAGCGAGGGTGTAGTTGGGCTGGGCGTTGATGTACCGTGGTGGTAGGGTTTGGTTCATGGCGTACTGACTGCAAGGCTCGGTAATAGCCTGACAGGAGGATCTGAGGTAGCAATACTGCTGGCCTGCAGGACAGCTGTCTGTGGTGTTGCAGAACTGACCTGACACGCAAGTGGAATAGGGGGAGGGCAGGGTGGGACATCCTAGAGGGGCCAGAGAGAGATCATCAGGTAACAGGTCTTAGCACAATTAAATTTTCAGCACAAGAATTCGGGGGGGGGGCTGCTTTAGGAAAAGCAGCAAAGATTAACATGCAAGGAAACATTGTGGTAGAATTTAATATGTTCAAGAACATGCAATTGTCAGAATTTAAAGGTACGAATATGGGCAAGTCAGAATGGATTCTTTATAAAGTATCATACAGAATGGATTCTTTACAAAGTATCATGCATATATTGAACAGATATCTACCAAGTTTTTCATTAATTCTCAGAAACATGTATGGGAAGATGAAACACAGAGAAAGAGTTTGATGCATTGGGTGAGGAAGGCTATTTCACTGCACTTCAGTTCAGTTAAACCACACCACAGGCAGTTATCCTTCAGATCAAGTCAGGGTTATGTGCATCACATGACTAAGACTGTTTCACTATTTGTCATTTCTATGTCATAACCAGCCAGGCATTTGGGAGAAAATGTCAAAAGATTTGTTTGAAATTCTTCCTTCATGCATTGAAGTATACAAATATACATTTGTAGTTGTAAGAGACTTTATCAAAAGGGAAACATGCACAAGTTTACATGACATGAGGTCATATCGTAGGACAGCATTGTCTGGATTTTAAAAGGACAGGATTTTTACATCCAGTTAAGCTTGAAGAAGAGGTGGCAAAGAATGTGGATAATTACAGATATATACATGTACATTATTCACTGAGTCAGAAACCATAAGTCAAGTATGGGGATATAGGGAAAACTACATGCCATGGCTCTGGTATTGACAAACTGTGAAACAGTCTTGCAAACAAACAAACAAAATATATCACACCAACACCACATTTGTCATCACTCTACAACTGCTATATCAACAAACCAGTCCAACAAACACAAAACACCTCAATCGTTACAACAGACACGATCGTGTATACACACACAGTGGTAACAGATTTTAGTCATGTTAAGGCTGTGGGCCCGCCCCACTGCAGATGCACGTGGACATACCAGGTAGGTGCAGATATGAGCCAAACAAAGGACAGGTGGGTCGGTACACCTGCAGGCGGATGTTGGATGCACCTGGCACAGCCACAAACTCCCAAGTGCTCAGCAGCCCTGCATGGTGTCATAAATTAAAGTTGAGTGAACAGTGATGAGTTGAACAGTCTCTTGTCTGAAAGCATCAATAAAGTAACATCGAAGTCAAATGAAAATGTCTGAGAAGAACCTGTCCTTCCCACACCTTCGTGCTGGAACCACATCCCAGGAAACAGCAGCAATCTCTTAGTGTTTGCTGAGGCTGCACCTTCCTGTGCCGTCATGTTTACTGCAGGAATGTCCACAGAATCAAAGACCACAGATCCCACCATGAAATACTGTCTGTAGTCTGCATCTGGTTCTGCAAAAATCAAGAGCAACACAAATTAGGAAAGTTCACTTTAAGAGCGCTATGTGACAATCTTTAAGTTTAATAACTAATTATTCTATGCTGTGTAATTCGGCAAAAATGATATGACGCACTGTCAATATTCTTCAATGATGAATAACATGCTTTGGTTTGGACATTATTAATCTTAGTTTCCATGTCCTCAATTTCAAGTTTTCTACTAGAAAGCATATCTCACTCTGGAAGCAACTAAGGTAGGATTAAAACTTCTCAATAGGAGTTCAGCTGTGGAAACTTAGGGTTTATGCCACAAGATCATGAGTCATCCAATCATCCCCAAACTTGAATTTGAGACAACCCCTCATCTCCCTCCCTCAGGTCTTTCAGAACATCCTGTACTGAGTGTGCATTTGAAAGTTTGCCCAGTCTTAGTAGACTCTCTGTTGATTGTTAACTATCATGTGTGCCGCATCAGTCAGAGGTTTGCACAGATATTCCAAGACAAACACTTGATGTCAACACCTACAGTTGGAAAATGATACTTGTGACTTTGTCACTCGCACAAGGCTTACCAGGGATAAGAAGAAGCCGTGCAAGGTTCTAAGGGCCTGTGAGACACAAGGACTCTTACAAACACACTTGACTCTGTAGAAAACGTTGGGCCCTTTAAGTGAGGCAAATACAGCTGTCTTGCTCCCCCAGAAAAGTAACATGAAACTGCAACTAATCACCCCCTTTAGCAGGAGTGAAAAGCAGGAGAGCCTGTAGGAACTTAGTCCTATTACACCAAATCAATACCAACTGCTACTGGCAGTGTCTAATAGCACATAGAAATCCTCTCCTGATGCAGCATAATGAACTGTATCAAGCACAGTCCTGAGTTAAGACCTGCATGTAGGTAGGTCAGAAGTGCCATGTCATCAAATCAATGTAAATGTTGACAGTGTCAAATTTTAGCCAGCAAACAAATTGGCTTGCTAAAGGTGAAGAAAAAAGTCCTGTTTTCACAGTATGTGGTTTCCTTACAAAGGCATTTTGTGCCAAATGTCAAACTCTAAATATTTGCAGTACTGCCTGGCAACTGTTGAAAGGGGCCAATTAATTACATGTCTTGGCCAATGTCGGCCCTTGGCATGTTACAGGTGGTAATGTTGTAGATAATGCACAGCCTATCACTGTAATCCTTGCTTGAAAGAAAGCACCACCCCCTGGAATTTCCTTTCACAAGTCAAACAAGTTTGTCCACCATCTATGTGATCCAATCTGTGGTGACTGAGAATAGGGGAGCTGATCAGTCTCAGTCCACAAAGAGAATCCTGATCATAACTTATCCTAACAACTAGCACTGTTTCACTAAAATTACTGTTGCATACTGGTGTTTGTCATAAGTCAAGAATCTGCTTAAAAAAAGGCTACAATGTCTTTAGTACTGAATTGAAAAATAAAATGTTAGTTACCATCAGTGATGAATCCTGCTCCGGCATAGTCAGACACAAGCCACTGCACACTGATGTTATATCCAGTCCGTGCTTCCAAGGTCACAGCGAAAGCTTCACTTCCCGTGTAGTGAGAGGGCGGACATGTCAGTGTCACGCCTGTGATGGGTGTCACTATCACTACCGGCATCATTGTGGTGACAGTTGTGCCATTGTAGCGTCCTTCCACAACAAGAGGGTAAGTCCCATCAACGCTGTACTTGTGGTTGACTGACAGTCCTGTCTTGTTGACTAGTGGTGAGCCATCACCCAAATCCCAGATGTAAGATTCCATCGAATCAGTGAGTATTCCAGTCAGAGTAAACTCGATATCCTCATTGATGGAGTAGTATGTTCTGGCGTTCGCGACATGAAAAGTTGGGAATGTTTTGAAAGACGATGGAATTCTCATGTGGCCCTCACACACACTGGACGATATCGCTACTGAGACGGTATGGACCCACTCACACCACAGGAGTTTGCATCCTGAATATGTAAAGAAGGTTTCAGCTAATTCTCCACAGTAACAAATGTCTTGTGCATCTGGTAAGCCGCCATAGGTGTAGCCTTGTGCATAGCAGATAGCATTGCAAGAAGCTATGTCATGCGATCCACTTTGCTCGTACTGAAAGAACACCAGACTTTCCTCTCCAGTGTCACTGTCAGTATAGCAAGCTCCGTAGGATTGAGCTGAGGAGAGAGAAGAAGAAGAAGACTTAGTCATTGAACAAATCACTAGGTATAAGAGAAATTCAGAGATTTTACAGATTTCACAATTTTGAATAAGACTGTGATGGAAGCAAAGCTTAGCTGAAACTATTCCAATTCGATTCTGACTTAGAATATTAAAATGCACTGATTTTTCAGTTTTCCAAATTTCACTCGGTGACAAATCGAATTGTTTTAAATCTCTTAATTTTTATGTGTTGTGCAAAATCCCTGTCTACATGGTAGTCAAAATATTTGATAAAGTCCTATTACTAAAGTCTTGCACGTTCATTGTACATATCCTATAATTGATGATTTACAGTTTCAATCAGTTCTTTTTTTGATGAAATACTTCAAAACTGCTGTTACACCATAAATGACTATTATTTACAGTCTAATATCCATTCTATTGGTGAATAAGTATGACATCAAACTCTTGTGAAGACTGCCTAAAATTGCTACATGGCATGCAGAACATTAAGCTTTGCAGGTGATTTTCTAGAAACATTCCTGGCAGCAAGCAAAGCATTGTGCAATGTGACCTTGTCTACAGAACAATGTGTGAATCACGCAATCAAGTGCTTTATAAGGAAGATAACAGGTAGCCTGGATGCCATCTAGATCAGTTTTAGCCTTTAACTGACAGGAGCAGACTGACATGTGGACCAGCTGAGCAAGGTGGCATCCTGGCCAAATATTAGGGTACATGCATCTAAGATGAGTGTAGTTTACAAGAGGAGTCTGCATCTGTGATGACCAACTGAACATGAGTTCTCACCATTTCTTCGCCTTCTACTACTCCGGTGTCTACTCAGATTATGTTTCTCATGCCAATGGACTTTGCTGTGTCTATGCTTCCTCAGGATTGCTAATAGCCCTGCTGAGAGTTTGCAAGGCTCTGCAAACAGGGGGAAGGGGTTAGCATGTTAGCATTAATGCACACAGATTAAATGTGAGTGACATACAAGTTACTCCATAGCAAAAAACTGTTAATCAAGCAGTTACATTCCGCCTGTTTAATATATGCTTGTATGGCAAAATAAAACAACAGAAGGCGTTAAAAAAACGACATGCATTGACAAACACATTACAAGAGCAAACTGAAAAACAAAAAAAAAGTGTGGTATGTCCTCCCTCAACCCTAATGACTTTAGCCTTTAGAAGAAATGTCTTGAAGTTGTCCTTGGAATGTGATATTGATTGAGGGAGGTATACACAACTTGGCCCCATGCCATGCAAATAAGGAAAGATAACAAAAACACTTAACATGATCTATTGCAAACAAAAAAGAGCCGTAACGAAAACAAATTAAGCTGATGAGTTGACATATGATGCAGCAACGAGGTCAAAGGAGCAACACATTCCCACCATACGACTAAATGTTAACATCACAGTTTAGTTGTTACAGGTTATAACACATCTAACAGAATTAAAAAGAAGCCTTCAAGAAGATTTGGAAAGCTGAAGAAAAGTTATATCTTGTATAGTTGTAACAGACCAACAGTTTAAGTCTAATAAAAAGCCTTACTGCAGTTGAGGGGGCTAAAGTCAACTTCAGCCACATTTTTGACTGTGTTGGTTTCTGGGTCCACACAGGTGATGTTGGGTCGGTCAGGCAGGGTGATGTTGGTTTCTGCGGCCACTGTGAGCCACAGGGGCAGCCAGGACAGGTCACAGGTACACAGGTATGGGTTAGAGCCAAGGGACCTGTGGGGACAGGACACACGTGTAATGTGGTCAGCCTATGGTTCTGCATGTGATGGGTAAAGGCATTGGCATTGACTTGGAACAAAGGGCAATACAAAGGGCCAAAGCACGAGCACAGAAAAGGTTGTACAGTCGTACATTTGTACAACATACATTTCCATACACTTTGTGTCAGTGGACACTTAAATAATGATACTGAATGATAAGATATTTTCTTTCATATACAAGTATATTTTGACCTGGGTCCACATAATAAATAGAAAATTAGTGTCAAACAGAGCAATCTTCATCAAAATGAGGGGTTTGCCATCTGTCATTGTATCAAGAGTCATACGGGTTTGTAGCCGTCTACACACACAACCTCCTTATTGTATTGTCTGCAGCTACTTAAGAGACACCTCTCTAGATCCAGTGGACTGCAGCCTTTATGATGTGGTGGAAGTACAGGTTTGACTGCATACACATGTACGTCTAAGCCTTTGTGAACAGTGGTAGTTTTTTTATGTTTCTAAGTCCTTTCATCCTTTCTGATAACAATGGTGGCTCCTTGGGATGGAGAGGCTACTATTATTATTCAGTCTTTATTTTGAACTGATAGGTATGTTTCATTAAAAGTCCAAAAGGAAGTAATTAAATGATTAAACAGTTCAGCCTATCTGGCTAGTCTGCTTAGGCAATGCATTATGAGGATACTGTGATGCAATACAGCAACTCATTATTGTTCAAAGGTAATCCTGTCTATAACAAAGGCCAACACGTCCCTCCCTATAGGCAAACCGACCTATCAACATCAAAGGCCGGCCGCTCGCAGAAACGTGCTTCCCCTTGTTTGCACCAGTGGAAGCTTTTGACCTTTGGAATACAGAGGTCTTAATGATATACCTGTATGCCAGCTAATGGTGATTGTATTGCCAACAAAATGCCTGAATGTCACCATTTCGTGCACAGAAATTGTTTTCGCTCTTTTTTTACATGACATGTCTAATATCATCACATGATATGTGATTTTACAAAACATCTCTCAGAACATTAAATATATTTTGCACATGATTTTCCACTTTCAACTCAGAGACATAACAGTGACGTGAGTTAAATAAGTTCTATTGAATGATCCCAGCTGTTTATGGTGCAATTTTCCTGCTGCCAATGAATGACGTAAGTGGGACACGGATCAAACAAGTCGTTTGACATCAGTGGCTTTCCGAAATATAATGTCAAGGCCCCTACATATGATCCCAATAAACATCTGGTTTTAGCTCTGAGGTTTTAGTAGCTGCGTCAATTTTGTGACCCTTGATCAAAGGTGAACTATTGAGCTTTGCTTTTGAGTAAAATTGTCACTCAGCTCATCATAGAGCTAAAGAACAGGTATGGCTAACCTTTTTTTGCACAATGTGTAACTTTTTTTCGTAAGGCTTTGTTTCAGAAAATGTGTCAAAAAAAGGATATGCAGTTGTCCTCACTCTTCTTCCCAAAACAACCTCTGTACAATCAAACATTCCAATCACCCACACAGGAGATCAGGAGATCATGTCACGTCAATCAACAGGAATAAACAGGAACACATCAATATTTCACAGATGACCCTTTAAATTTGCAGAGTGGTCCATAACTGCAACAAACAGGTCCATTTAACCTGTCAATCATCATTATTTTCCTGTCATATACAAACAACTTTCACTAGTCAGTTTGGATGCTAATACCGGTGTGTCATGGAAACCAGGATGCGTGGACTTGACTTGTAATAGCATGGTGGGATTAGTTTTGGAGGGGATGATCCTGTCATGGGGCGTGTGTGTCACTGGTACTGACGTCACAGCTTTGTCACTCTCCAGACTGAGCCAAAATTTATGTGAAAAGGGCTATGTCAGAGATTCCTCCAGCCCACCTGTATCTTCACCTGTCAAACTTCAAAGTCACGACAGACCCACCTGAAGTCTGAAGCATTTGCCCTGCCGTGACAATATGTCCTTCAAGTAATAAATACAGCAACCCGACAGCCAAAAACTACTTAAGAATCAGTGTCCACAAAAATTGCACTTGGTGTTTGTTATTGGTTGATCTGCTTTAATGTCTGTGTGTATTCGTGGCTACTGTAATGGAACCAAGACTTTGCCTACAGGGCACAGTCTCAGAATTGCATGCTTGACAGTAGAGGACTTACATACCAGCCCCCTGGTGAGATTACTTAATGGACCAAAACATCCTCAAACTTGCCTCCCAAAACTCCTCTGCATGATCTGTACCTGCTGTGCAGTTAATCCTTACACCCAAGGAGTCAATTAGGGAGTCATTATCAGCTGATTATCAGGCATTAACAGCAAAATATGTCCCCAGGGGAGGATGTTTTCCAAACTTCATTAAGATACATTAGGTCTACTTACAGGCTAGTCAAGCTTGAGTTGCTGGCAACAAGGTCATCAAACACTCCATAGGTTAGGTTGTCCAGCGCATTGGAAGACAGGTCGCTGTAAAGTCAACACATTTCTGTCAGCAAACTGGACCAAAAACATTTACTCTTTTGGTATGTAAACATAATCTTCCAACGAAGCAAGGAATAAATCTTCAGATGATGAACAAGAAAGCTTCAAGCATCAAAAGATATACTTACAGAGTATGCAACATGTGAAGGCCTGTGAACAGTTGCTTTGACATGGAAGTCAGGCGGTTCTTGGATAAATCACTTTGAAAGAAAAGAACATTGAATCAAACCTTTGTTTATTTCTATCAAGTCTAAAAATCAATAGTGAAAACTCTCTAAAAACGAAACATGTATCAAAAATGTTGTAACAAAAGAAACGAAACAGACACAAGAGCTACTTCAGAATAAATTGCTGACACTTACAGCTCTTGTAATGAAGTAAGATTTTGAAACACATTTTCAGGAAGCGTAGTCAGGAGGTTTTCACTAAATGACCTGTGTAGAAAAAGAAAGAAGTACCATTAAGACTTCTTTACAAACTCTCTTCTACGGAAATGCCAGTGATGTAATCAGATTGTTCTAAAGACAGAATGTTCAACAAACTTTATGCAATGAAAATTGAATTCAGTTGAAGACTGTCAGTTACATAACAGTTCTTTGTAGGGAGGGGGTTGTAGCATATTGGCTTCAAATTGTTGTATTATTCTAATCTATGGTTACTGGTAAAAAGATAAAGTGCTGTAAAGAAACACTTTCTCTTTGTTCAAAAAAATACAAATACTTCAAAGCATATGAATCAACAAAGAAATCTATTTTTGGACTTACAACACAGCGATGGCACTTGAATCAGCAAACAAGTCATCAGGCACACTATTCAACTTATTACCCTGAAGCAGCCTGATAAGGGGCAGAAAAGGGTAGCTTGTCAGATATGAAGTCAAACACTCCAGAAAACAAACTCAGTTTGGTGTAGACAGGACATCTTTTCATGTAACAGGTGATTAAACAAGTCAACATGTCAGGACAATTTGTGCAGTAGTAGCCATGTACTGATAGACTGACCAGATGTCTGATTCTGGATAAAGTATTGTTGGTGTAAGACAACATCACAGTCTGCCCTTATGCCAATTAGCAAAGATAAAATGCAACTCGAAAATTTGGGGAGCCAGACACAAGTGGTGCTTGAGGAGATTTGGTCCTGTCCTTGGGAGTAGGTGATTAACAGCCTGGCAAAGCTTGATGTTGCAATGCAAATACTACAAGAGGCACAAAAACCGTCAGCGGCCACATTTAATTAACTCTGTTAACAGCACAGCACACATACAAATGCTTACAAAAACAGTTTGGAATACTTTCATTTCTTTTACACAATAGAGTCTGTCTCTCAAATGTGCAACAGCTAGTCACCCACTTTAATTATCAGATCCATACGTGCCTGATACGTAAGTCATGAATACGAAGTCCATGTACATTCTAACCATAACCTTGCACATCTTTTCCTTAATTTTGGATATATCTTTCATACCTCTTGAATTCAAACTGTTATTTGTCCTTTCCTTGACCTACTATGTGTAATAACAACTAGCTTCCTACTGATTCAATGTTTGAAATTAGGTGGAACAGGTAAATACTGCTAAGTGCACGAGCCTCCACCCAGTTTTGTTTTGTACTGGTCCAACATGCAGAACAAATAGCCCCCTACCAGGGCCCCCATTGTTGGAGGAGAGACTGTTAGCAGGGCTGGCACAAAAGGCAGGTACTTACAATTCTTCTAGGGACGTCAATCCTTCAAAACTATTTACTTCTAATGACTCTAGGCAATTGTACGTCAAATTCCTGAAAAAGGACAGAATCAGTTAGCAACTGCATAGTATGGTATCATCATTTATGTCAAGGTTTCTGGGGAGGAAAAACTTGAACATGTCCTTTTAAGATTCTTCAGGTACTAAGTAAAAACCTGCAAATCTCTGACCTCTGTCTTCTTTCTTATTGACCTGAGCAGACATTTTGTCATGTTGTGTGGGTGCTGTGTGACAAAAGTTTCCAAAACACACACCTTCAGATTACAAACTTTGAAGCACAAGCGTCTCACACACAGAGACAAGTTCACAGCAAGGTATAAACTGCCACATTCTCACCAATATTGATTTTTGAAACTTTGCCATGTAACATGACAAGGTGATATTAACAACAAAACTTCTGACATACTTTCATTTCAAATATGTGGCTCTTCAGATAGACCAACATTCTGTCTGTCTTCCTAGTACCAAACCAAATAGTGACAGGATCTCTGCAACTTTGCCCCCCTCCAAGCCTTTGACTTTATCAACCGGATACCAGGTGGACATGAACAAAGGTTGCCTGCCTGACTGAACCAACCACAGAAATTCTCTTACATGCCGTTTCATCCCTCCTCATTCAGTTTGTAGATTTGTTTTCTGCAAACATAAAGCCTTTCCTAGTATATTGGCTAGGACCCGACACAGGTGTAAATCAGGGGGACAATGGCCAGGTTTTGTGTTGGAAACAAAGCCTTTGGGGACAGTTCCCAGAGAACAAGGCGTGAGATGGAATGTATTGATTGTACCCACAGCCCTGAACCGATCTCTCCGCCTCAGTATTGACCTTTACCAACCAAACCACCGCAACATTCCCACATTTCAATGAGAAATAAGGTCTACACATAAGAAGTTATGATATAAGAAATAAGAAACTATGTTTGAGCAAGGAGGTTTGATATGTACCATTCAAAGCATTCAAATGCCTTTATTCCCATCAAATTGTTGTTGCTGTTAATGCTCCAAAAGGTATTCTGTGGAATATACAATCCTTTGAGTGAATTTTCTAAGTTATTTTTAACACCTCTGTGCTACAAGATGAAGCTTGCTTATTCCCAAACTGAGTATACCATGTAGCCATCAATGCTATACACAGAGTTGGCATACCAGTCACCCAGAAGTCATGCAAATTGAGCATCAGGAGTGTGCCCAGGCAACATTAACCTTGTATCCAGTCAGCCATGGAAAAGAAAACCAACCTGTTTCCTAGAGGCAAAATATCACTCTTGCTCCTAGTGACCCGCTCGGTCTCCTATCAGATACCATGCTGCACTCCTGTCACAACTTTTAGTGCTCAGGAAAATGCTAATTTATCACTTTCCCTGTATGCCTAGCCCCTCACTAAACAAGTGGACAATTTTGCTGCAGCCAACTTTGCAAAGGTCAAGGACCGATATCCAAAGTAATTGCTCCCCATTCTGCGACATAAATCAAGATCAGCTAATTGCATGCAGGTGAATACATGTAATAAAAAGTCTACTAACACTGGCATTTTACACATCTAATTATACACGTTTGCAGCTATATTTGTACTGCTACCACATTTGTGGAGGTCATCCAAAGTGCATGAAACATGTAAAATGGAGTTAATCTACTGTAAGATAATTGTGCTTTTGGCCTGTGGTTAGTTAATGTACTGTAAATGCATATCAAAGTTGTCAGGATTTACTGCCACAGGCATGCTGTTCACAGCCTTGGTTTTGTTTTAAGATTGAAGTTGGACACTGCAAAGGAGGAAAACTGCCCTGTCCAATCAAATTTGTAGACTTCCTATGATTACATTAAAACACCTGACAAGTTCTAAAGATTACGATTATGGTTAGTTGTTGACTTTTTTTGTTTGGTCCTATTACATTAACTTTAAACAATGTTGACCTTGGAATAATGTGTCTTTTTTAGTAAATCTTACTGACAACATAGGATAAGCAATTATCATGGGAGTAAAGTAAAAGAAAAGAAAGGTACTCACAAAATCTTCAGACTTGATAAATTATTAAATACTCTGTTGGGAAGACTGCTTATATTATTCCTATCCATAATTCTGTAAAGAATGGAAAAGGACTGAGTTAGCTGAATATAAAACCAAGGTACGAATGAGCTACCATGCATTACTATGTTACCAGATCTTAAAGCAGAAACAACAGTCTAAGCAATCATTCCACACAGGCAAATATTATTCTAGCCTCCCAGTGCTACCTTCCAGGCAAACAACACTACTTTTTGCTCTTCAGCGTCATCAAATCTAATGTCAATGTGCTTGAGTCAACAAATCAAACTAATAATTGTTTAAGAAGGCAAAGGTGGTGGGAAAAATGCCAGTTCGAAACGGAAACCCCTGCCCCAGCCTGAAATCAAAGCTTGCCTAAATTCTACCTTGTGATACAAATGTTTTTGATAACATGTAATTCATGTCTACCGTTATCAACACTTAAAAATTCCATTAAGCATTCCCAAGATATTCAACTATGCTACTGCTATGTTGTGTACAGTTTCTGTCTGAGAATATACAATTGTGGACAGCCAACATGTCCGTTCAGTCATGGAACTGATAACCTTATTATCCTAACAAGATCAACATAATTACACAACACACAGTATGCACAAAATTTCACACAAGAACACGGGTACTTACAATTCTTCTAAATTTTGTAGACTCTTGAAGGCATCTCCTGCTATAGTGGACACATTGTTCTCCGACAAGATGCTGTAAGGAAGGAAAAATGGGTCAGCTAGATGCAACAAACGGGGTCATGGGGATTTGAGGCTTGAACAAAAGGATTCCGTATGAAACCACCTGTTTCCTACAGGGTCTTGTACACTAGTAATGGGATAACAAACATAGATGTATGTGCAGGAATTTGCTCAGTAGCATATAACACAGTAACATGATAAACACTGGCAAGATTGTACTTTTGAAGAACAACTAGGAGGCTCTGAACTGGTGCAGCATAGGGTAGATTTTCCAAGAAGACATTATTGAATATGGTAATTATTTTCATGTCCTTTCATTCAGTATCTATAAATAGAAACACATACAAAAAATTGTTAAGTTATTATTTATGGAGTAAATCAGTACAGAAGATGATGGAAATATGATTGGCAGATGTGAATTCTTAAGGAGATATAATAATGAATGCTTGAAGAAGGAGGCAGTAACCAAGAGAGATGCCAGTTTCTCACATACATAATGAATGCTCTGCATGAAAATATAACATGAGTTTTATTTTGAAGAGTCAAATCATCGTCCAGTGAATATTTTTCTAAATGTACTGTGACGCTGAGGTTTGTTATCTTTAATTATCCTCAGAGGTAAAGGTGATCAAGGGCAGCCCAAGCCAGCAACCCTGACTGATTTGTCTGCCCACAGAAGGGACAAAGGCAGGCTTTACAGACACTCTTTCTTCCCACAGGCTGGCATCACAAAGTCAGCCTTAATGGCCTCTTCCTTACAGGGGCACAACCATGAATAGTGAGTCAACTTCCTTGACTATAAGTCTTTTCTCAGCCAGACATCTTTGCTGTAGTTTCCCATGTAGCTAAGAATACAGTTTGTCCGTCCCAATCACTGTCAGTGCGGAAACTCTTTCTGACGTAGGGCCGGCTGATTGTTTGTGCTTTAGCAGCAGAGTGACATGACAGGTCAGTGTAAGGTAACCAGAAAAAAACGAATTTGGCACGACACCGAGGGGGGTTATATAATGCAAACTGTTCCAACCTGGAGTAATCCTCCACTTTCAAAACAAACCTGTTACTTTTCCACAACCTGTCCTACAGCACTACACTATGAGGGTGATGCTTTGTGAAGTGCATTCTTTTGTACGTGGAGGTTTATCGACAACTACGTTCCCACACCGATGGACAATGCCACACCATTGGGCCGAGATGCACAATTAACAGTCTTCCAGGTTTGGTGTTTCACTGCCTCGACAATGGACTACGTCTGGAGTTTCCATCTGAGGGCAACAGCCCACCTTGCCCATTCTGCACAATTGTAAGCATACCTGGCAATGCTTTTTTAAGCACCAGTGAATAGAACAATGGTCCTGAAAAGCATCCACCAGGCAGAGGGTGCCAGTGGACTTGAGAACTTTGTTTCACTCAAAGCACCGCGGAAATTTGGACCTCAAGCGAGCTGTTTGAGGAAGTGAAATGTCATGTTTGACTACTGGTACTTGTGTGGCAATCAATGGAGGGGTACGCCCTAGACAAACTGAGCTTTTGATGTGAAATTTCTTGTCTTTCAGCAGGGCCCATGTTGTGAACAACAAGGCTGTTTTTCAGCCTTGACAGTGACAGCCTTCCTTATCTGTGGCCTTGCCAGGGTTTGCACCACCAGCATTTAGTAAAACTCCTGTGATACAGTTTCAACAAGGGATGTCCGACCCATCCCCATCCAACCATTCAAAGGAAAGAGTATCAAAAGAGGGACATAAAGTTTGTCCGATGGTTGTTCAAACATACCAGACATAGCAATAGTCTGTTTCCCTGTCTTTCAAGTGCCCTAATCAGAGATGGGGGCAGGGCAAAGTTCCTTTAAACAGGGCACATACATTGCCCTAAATTAAGTTACATGCTAATTATGTTATAGATACCAGGGGGTTAAGCCATCATCAAGGGTGAAAACAATCCTGCCTTATTATTCAAATTTTCTTTACTCCACTGGTGTTCATTAATTAAAGAACTGTAGAAGGTGGCAGACAGGTGCCTGTTCTGACACAAATGACCTGGCTTCATTCTCAGTGAGGTCTACTCCAGAAAAGCCAGGGGCAGCCAGAGTTGATCACACTTAATCAAGGGATGATGTACGACACACTAACACGCCTATCAACCCAGTCCCACAACCACTCCAGCTCGAGGATTCTGCCACAACAGTTCAGGACCAAACTGGGGATGCAAGAGGCTTGTTTGTGCTGCTATCACCCGTGTTTGGCCGCCAGGTAGGAAGCCAGACAACAACTTTGTGTTGTGTGATAAGGCTGCGTAGGGTCCCTTTGTGGCTGTTGGGCAGCATACCTCCCCTTCCAAGCATACTGACCGTCATCTTAGCTATGCACATTGCTGGCAGGCAGCCTACCATGGGCAGTGCACGGCTATAACATTGTGACATCATCCTTATATCAAAACTCCAAGTGTCCAGTTGTCTTGTACACCACACAACATCACTACAGTAAAGGTACGCCTGCTCTATACTTCACAACTGAGCAGACCCAGTGAGAATTGGCACACCTCCAGAGTTAAGTAAGCACAACAGTGACCTATTTCAGGAAACTCAGAACCTATTTCCACCATCATTAATATATTGATACTGACAACAACATATTGTATCACCCGTTTACAGAGCCAGCTTTTTAGGTTACACCACTAACAACCACTGGTGCATTTGGGGCATGAACACAAACATGGCAACACCTTCCATGGGATACTGCCTGTGTAAAGATCTGTGCTTTTCAGATTTTGTTTTCATAACTATTTCTGGCAAAGCATTTTAACCTGCCACAATTGCGAGAGATGGGTCAAGGCAAATGTAGAGAGTCGGGCATGCTTACAGCACTCATCAGCACTGTAGCAACAAGAAAACTGCTCGGAGATATGGGTAACCCTCACATGCTGACAGGATGAATTATAATGGGCATGTTTGGTGTAATTAACTTAGTTTCCTCAACATTGGGGGAAGTGTTGCCAAAGTCCAACTTCGAGACATCAGAGATGAATAGGAAGAAAGTCTAACCAGACGTGACAGGCAGCAAATGTTGTAGAGTTGTTGACCTCCTTTCAACCAGCTGTCACCTGGTCTCTGATGACTTTTTTTATTAAATTGGGGCTCACCTTCCAATACAAGTGCAGTTTTGTACTTAATACAGTTAAGTCTTGGTTTCAATATGGTTATGAACAAATAGAAATATCAATGTGCACAAGTATTACTACATGACTTTTCTCACTCCCAAATCACTAGCATGTACACTTCAAGTACACCTCAAACAAAATCAACAAAAAAAGCAAAAAAAGCTTTCATAACATGCACAGCTACAGGAGAAGCAACTGTGAAAAACATCCTTTCCACAAACAAGCTTTTGAATATTACACACACAGTGGTAGAAATACACTGTGTTTCAATTTGTCAACATACATTTTGTACAAACATTCAGATACACATGCTTCAATGACTCCCTGGAGAGCAAATTAAGCTGCTCTCAATTTGTTCCAAGCTGGGAGTTTAACTTTTGACTCCCTTGTGATATTTCTCTCTCAGGCTGTCAGTTACGGTAACATTACTCCTGCCTACATTAAGTACCAGAATGATAGATTGGAAAGTCACAGTTGTGCTCAGAACGGTAGCTGGGTAAATGTGGGAACCAAGGAAAAGCAGATTATCCCACATGTACATAACAACGCCACTCAGCTATTAAAACACATCCAAATCCCTGGAGTAAACTACAAGCACACTGAGAAGGGGAAAAAGAACTCTGAAAAGTCGGTTTGGGGGAGGAAGTGTGGCATTAAAGCGCGTTACGCAGTAGTAGGAGGTGAACTGTATCAGGTAACGCATTGCGTGCGTGTGAAAACTCGCGATGGGGTGACAGAAATCTCAACTACTTAATAATCGTTTGAGGGACTGCCCCACTGATTGAAAGGGTAAATAATACTAATCTGTTCTAATCTCATTCACAGCTGTTTATTACCGCAAACAACTAGGCGTGATCTTATCGAATACACTCCTTCCCTGGTGTACTTTATGGTGGATGCTACGCTGCGAAGTTTATGCGTTGCTTTAAAAATAAGTTTTGTTACTCAACTTACATACGTGCTGTGAAGACGACACCATTATCATTATGTATCTTTCCTTTTATGAAATGCAAATGAAATTGAAAGAGTGAAATGTCTTTGGGTGACTCAGGGAAGGAAGCAGCAAGAAGTCAACAAAACACCTTCATCAGCTGAAAGAGGCGGAAACATGCCTGACTTGTAGCGGTTTGACTCGAGCCACTCCTGGCCGCCTGGCGGTGCCAGGCCGGGGCACCCCTCCCACAGGAGTTCTCTAGAGTAGTTACAACATATCCAGGGTGAATCACAATAAATCTACCCTCCCACACATGTTCAGTTTGTAGGTTATAAGAAATGGTGGTAGGTAGTGTTGTACTTACAGTTTCTTTGTCGGGATCGGTAGACCCGCAGGGCTTGGCACTTGACGGAGCCCCTGTCCTGAACAGTCGACTGTGCACGCCTTCGGGACGGCAGAACACAGGCACTTGTCGGGACACGGGGTCTCACAGTTCGTCTCCGTCGGACCCTCGGTAGGGGGAACCTCGGTGGTGTGTCCGAGGGCGGGCCGGGGCCCGACGCACGCCAGTAATCCACATAGCAGGTAGATCCAGAGGAGCCTGGGCCGGAGGACGCCATGTTTCCCGGTGACCAGGACATCGGGTTGCATACTTCAGACGTACGCTAGCAGCTCATCTTGTGTACCGAGCACTCTGGCCAGATCTAGCCGTGGGTGGCGACACCGAGCACCGAGGGGAGTCATGATCTCAGCCGATTGTCCCCGCAAACTCGTCCCGTCCGCACCGCAACCTCATCTCTTTGGCCTACAGTACACAGGGCAACACAACAAAACAGCGTCAAAACGGTCGACTGCCTCCGCGGTACCGCCGAAAGAACCTACAAAAACACACAAGGATTCCGCCACAGCTGGCGTTCTGGAGAAAAATCCGGTTCTAAGTACACCCTCCCCACCAAAACGCCACACTCACCCTCCCGTTACCTACATGGATACATAAAGCAGAAGTGTCGTGCCGGGAGTTGGGTCCCTGTGGATCGCCGCTGCGCCTTCCCGTGCGATATGGAGATCTGGGGTTCGCTTTCACCGTGTCAACTTACTATTCAACAGCGCAAGTTGGCTTTTCACGTGACCGGCGGACAAAAGGCCCGGGCCCTGGGACGTGTCCCTATTGATTCGTGTTGGTGTTGGCCTGCGCAGTCATAACGACTCTTTAGTGAGTTACGGGAGACACCTTGGAAACGGTTGTCCAGCTCTGCTTTCACGTCACCGTTTTTCATGCGTACAAAAACAACACAAGGCGTGGATAAAGGTTAATCTTGGTCGGACTCGTTAGCGCGATGTTTGCTGCCGCTAGAGAGGCTAGTTTTCACGCCAAAGTTTTTCACCTGCTGAAACACGCGCTGGAGTCAAAGACCCCCATTGACGTTGCTGTCTACATCCGCATCCACGATCGATATCAGACAAGAACCGTTCAAAAGGGATGCCGAAGTTAGCTGGAAACCGCCAAAGTAGCTGTGTGCCTGACACAAATTGAGATTGACTAGGCGCCCCGCCTCGCTATAACGCCAACCTCCCAGAGTTTTACTTGGATGACAACATGGGCGGGCCACCGCCATCCGATCTGTTGATTGATCAATTTTTTGGAGACCCTAATAGTTGCCCCATGTTAAATTAACCCCGCACGCCGTATTTACCGTCATAACAGTCAGAAGTGATCAAACACACGGAGTGCGTGTTGCCTCAACATTTCATGTAGACCGAAGTCCGACAGTACAGCGAACCGTACGTTTACCAATCTTACACCAAGTAGCATTATGGCAATATTTCAACATGTCTCTGAGCGTGAAAACTTCTGATAAGGCTCAAAGATTAAATGAAACACGTGCACGAAACTCACAACGCAGCCAGTCTATTGACACTACCAATCTGACTTCTCCACATTCATTGTCACGTTTAAACGGCCAAAGTGACGTTCGCTATGATAAAAAGCGATATAAAAGTCTCCCAGTAGTTTCTTTTGTTGTAGACCCGGATAGGAGAAATCCCCGGGCAACTAGCCACGTCAAAGCTTTTAAAGCCATGCATGGTGTGCTCAGGCAACTGAAGTTCGCCAAGTTCCGCTACTGGGCACCCATTGTCGCGCTCAAAGCCATCGTCTTTTGGTCCCTTCCGAGGGCGGAAATCATGTTGAATCTGAGTGATGTGGCGCTGGGGCAAACACATCGCACGCAACTGAGGCACGCCTGGCTGGCGTGCAGTGGCAAATGTGTTCTGAGTGAGCTAAAGTGGAAACCAGGCGTGGCGGTCTGATCCGCTGACCCTGTAACTCACTTGTACTTTGGTACAGTGAATCTGCAATACACAGCTAATACACATCCCGTGAAGTGCGCAGCCTAGAAAATCAGACAATCCTATTTATAAGTTATTCGCCTCCCGCCTATCCCGGTAAAGTTTAGTGACAACACAGCAAGAGACTAGACCAAAAACGAGTACTACGAGATTTTGCTAACGCTCACTCAGTGATGATGATATCCGAAAAATTATTTGATGGGTGAACGCACAGACGTCACAGCATGCAGTTGCAGCATGTAGTTGCAGATGGGGGACATAGACACACGACAGAAACTTCTTTGGAAATGCACCATGTCTTATGTTCGCTTCATGTGCCCCTCGGCATTGTACACATATTGCGAGAACAAGTTATCAAGGCATTATATATGCATTGCATTACATATCAACAGGCTGTTTCAATCCAATGGGTGTTCCGGGAAATACAGAATCGAATCGCGGTTACAGCTTATCAAGAAATCAAATTATCAATTCATATACCTTTGATGTTAAAGATAGCTGAATTTCTTACCAATAATTTGTTCTACAAATCTCAGAGATGATTATTTTATGATAGACGGCCGCTTTTCACTGTCAGAAAAGAAAACGGGGAAGTCAGAATATTGACTTCCCTTCCAACATCTGCTTTGGGATGAAAGTTAGTGCGATACATTACGCTACGTATCGCACTAAGGAGGTTAAAGGTATCACAGAGCACAGTCCTTGGCCAAACTTCTTGTCAAAGTTCTTGTTGCCGATGGGTATATTCTCATCGACTGCCACATCTTGGGCCCACCCAGTAGAATGCTTATTCATCACTTACAGGCGGTAACCACGACGCCACAATACCCACCACAAATATTAGCCATGACACATTCCACATCCTTTCACGTAACTCTGCTCGGCTGACATTGAGCCATCACGGCTCGGTGGTCTCGGCAGGCCGTGAACTTGTTCACAAGTCGTGCGCGACCTTTTCAACAAATATTTCTGACAAGGGAATGTACGCAAGGACAGGCCGCGTGTGAAGTAATTAATGGACCTACACTGTTTTTACTCTCAGCTAGAGCAAGGGGGCTCAAGCCTTGTGTGGCCGCAATTGAATAGTTCTGTTTAACAGTTCAAGTAACATCAGTCGTCATTGATCAAATTTTAGTGTGGTCTTCTTTTGTGAACATAGAGGGCCATGGCATTGGTTCTACTCGTCACTCGTCGCTTGTCTTGACAGGCATTGTGCCAGTAACGCCGTATCATCTCTGCAAATAGTTGCACTTAGAAGCATACCTCAACTAAAATGTAGCGAGGACGACAGAAAAATAATTCTTGTAAGCTGTAAGCATCACATTGTTTTTTTTTTCTTTCACAGTGACAGAAAACCGCCTGGTTAGTGAGTAAATGTAATGAAGTGCATAGATTGTGATCTCTCAGAATGCCTTAGGATCAATGTCGTGACTTTTCTTCTGTTTTTTGTGATGAGTTTGTAAAATGTTCAGTATGACGTGGACGCAACCTGCAGACAATAAGCACAAGTGTAAGGATGTAAATATTTAGTCGTTGAAATGTTGGCAAAGTACGGAAGCGCGTAAACAGCCTTGGTGGTCCGGGTCAATACCGGTATTGGAACTGTCCACTTTAGTTTTGTTCGGAGGACAGAGTTGTGTGGCACGGGAAGAAAGGACTTGTTTAACTGCAGGGGAAAAGTCGTCAGACGGTCTGGGGCCGGTCGAAAATAGTCCCCCTATTGACAGTAGTGCGATGGCGAGGACCACAGGAGCGCATGCCACCAAGCCATTGATACGACAGGAGGAACTGTCCGCTTTTTCATTGCAGTTCGGTCCTAATGAGATGTAACTAATCTGGCTTCCTATCGTATTTTCTAGGGTTCCAGTCAACAAATCTCCGGGTCTAACATAGCTGTAATAGAGTGAGCGAAATACAGCATGAAATTCTAGTCTTAAATATGATATCTTGGTAACAAACTGACTTTTGTGCGTCATGGCAAGTGAAGTGGATGTTGTTTTCTTGGTAGGCGGAGAAGGGCTCTTGAACCCATTCCTGGTCCACACGTACGCGTACTGTATGAGGGGCAAGCTACTGCAACATATACTTCAGAGGACCATCTTTCAACGTTTCACCAGACGTTTTAAGACAGTTTGCCTAGCCTAACACTAGAGGTGGATCATGGAAACGATGTTTTACAAAATCAACGGTATTCAATGAGACAGTCGACGCAATGCCAAGCCGACATTTCATGATAAAGGATCGCCAAGTTTTGCTATCTTTGCGGTTGTTTGAGAACAAGTTACGCCTTACGTTACAAATACCGATTCCCATAAATTAAAGGCTGTTTCGGGTTACGATTTATCCTAGTGAAGAAGTGATTCAAATGTGTGCCCCTAGTGGCTTACGTTCGCTCTGCAGCTGTTTGCACCTCTCTTGTTGAACATGATATTCCTGTTACTTTCTGATCGTAATGGGCTCTTGGTGTCTATGAAGTGATTGATTGTAGCCCCCTAGCAGCTCCATTTCAAACTGAAGCGATCCCTTTTTGTTGTGTAAACAGCGCAGCGCAAACCGCCATCGATTAATTGTCATGGTTGGAGATAAAGCATAACGACATGCGGAATATATCAAATCATACGTGTAGCAGCCTAGCTTTGATCAGTGTTTTTGAAGTTCTACGGACATGCAGGTAGATATCATAAGATATGGATCAGCAGAGCGAGTATTCAACTGAACCGACGTTGACCCTGTTTTACCAATGATGATGCTCAACAACATAGCAGGCTACTTCTCATGTTTGGGGAATGTAGAAAATAAACCGATGTTTGAAGTGTCAAAGCGACTTTGTCAAAACTTTAAGCTAAAAGAACGTCTTACCTGTGCTGCGTGTGTGCCCCAAGTCAATATAATCCAGGAGAATTGAATTCAAAGAAGTTAACAGTCACAGTTCCTTCAAACGTTATTTCCCAATCGGCAAAACTCTTGGGCAACATTCGCGAGCATTCCAACGTACGGCGAGCAAAGATGACGACGTCAACGTGTGCTTGCTCGGCAAGGTGCTAACAAAATAATACCTCACACGAGTCGTCTACTCAGCGCTCTACTGTGTTTGTCCTGCTTTTAGCTGTTGTCACTGAAACGGTCGGCGGGAGGTAGTATCAGGTGGGCTTTAATCTCCAACAACAGGTCGGCTGACGTCTACAAGAACTCCGCTAGAACTCCTCTAACCTCGCAGGTCGTCAAACACGTACTCCTTGCCTGCCTGGCCAGTGGAGTATCGTACGGTTCAGTAGGTCGCGGAGTCGTTAAGTCGTCGGCAGATTCCCTATAAGCAAATCAATTACCTCCGAAAACGATAGGACCTTACTGCAAAGACCCCCCGCAGCCTTCTAAGGCCCGCACGCCCCCTGACGAAAAACGTTATCTTGACTAGGGTAATAGAAGTTATACACGTTCTATTGTTTGAGCAAATTGTGCCCTGTTGGCAGAATGGTCACTGGTTAAACAGGGTCCTGGACCTTTCATGACTCATTGTGTAAATGTTTCAAGACCCGGGGTCAGACTCCTTTTTCGACCCCCCCCCCTTCATTTCTGCCCCACCCAAGACAGCTGGACCCATATAGTCAGACATAACAATGTTCAATCGACCTGAATTTTGTAGGTCATTAGGGACATGTGTCGGCAATGTTATCGGTCCTTATCCACGTACTTGGTGAATTCGTATCAGCAGATGTTTCATAGACATCAACCTTTTGTAGCATGACAAG